GCATGAGGAACCCTCCATCTGGAAACATCCTGGCATTTTATTTGGAATGGTTCATAGTCTGCTAAATTATAGTCATAAACTCATTAGATGTCTTTAGGTAAGCCTCTCTGTTGATCAGTCTCTCTGTTACTCACCTTCCACTCAGAGATGACACCCGCTTGATCTGAATGAAGGTATATAATAACTGAGATAGAGACTAAAATGATACATAAATACTAAGTCATAGTATTATGGGGAAGCCAAACAAGTAACGAGTATCAAAAATATATTTATTTTCCCCATTTATATCCTATTTTAGTACAAAGAGCTCAGAATACTGTACATAGGCTTTTGATTATTTTATGCTCACATGAAAATCTGTATAATAGGGTACAGTGAGGAATAGTGATTGGCCCAATGAATTTTGGGACAGAGAAGAGCAACTTAGTTAAGCCTGAGCTAATCATGTAGCTGAACAACTACAAAACACTTATACTGGTTCTGCTACCCATATTTACTCAAATCTAATGCACCATTTACTCAAATTCAATGCACCATTGTATCTAATGTGCACCTCCATTTTCAAAATCATGAAACCAAAAAAGGTGGCTGCTGCTGAATATAATGTGCAGTGGTAAAAAGTGCAACATTTGTAATTTAGAACACCAAAACTTTCATCAATGGAAAAGAAAACCTTGGGATGCATCTATGCTGTAGGATGAATTCACTTTAATTGCTTTGGTTCAATGCTGTGGTATCATGAGGGGTATAGTTTTACGATGACTGAACCTTCTGAGCTAAAGAATGCTGATACCTGACCAAACTACACATCCCAGGATTGCATAGCATTAAGCTATGGCAATTAAATGAGAGATGACATTCCTCAAATGGGAGCTCCAGGTGCTCCTGAAGCAGCTCCTTTTTTGCTTTGGCTCAGCACTAAGATTACCGTATGATGTGAATCTAATGTGCACCCGAATTTTGGAGAGGTAATTTAGCCAAAAAAGGGTAAGCATTGGATTTGAGTAAAGAGAAAGATTTTATCTACTCTCCTCTTCCAAATGAATTAAAAAAACAACAACCCTGTTCTTATTGAAACGCAAGCAGAGTTGGGCCTGTGTATCCAATGGTTCTGCTTCCATGAATTCAACCAACCATGGCTTGAAAGTATTCTAAAGCAAACCCTGACTTTGCTTCATGCCAAGTACTGTGTTACTGTGCAGGCATATAGACACACCCTGCTGTACCTTCTTGCCATTTCACAGATCCTCAGGCTCTAGTTCTCGTTTAAGTTGTTCACCATTAAATATAATGGCACTTGAACATCTACTACACCACAGTGGCTCTCATATAGTTTTGATATTGTATCTTTAATTATTGTACTTTATTTTATTATGATTCTGGAGATCAAGGTTCAATTTCCTGTTCAGCGATGGAAACCCCCTGGGTGACCTTGGGTGAGTCACCCAGAAAATGCATGATACTGTAGTTTGGCCTTATGATCACCATAATTTGGAAATGACTTGAAGGTACACAATGACATTTTGAATCAATTCTGGAAATGTATTTTTTTTAAAATAGGAGATAAATTCTTCAAACAGTTCATACAAAGTCATGTACCATTACTTTTTAAATTTATTCCTGAATTACATGGATTCAGCATTATCTGGCCCAGAATTGCTCTTGTTCTTAGTTGGGTCAAATATTTTTCTGATGAACCCCCCCCCCCCCCGGGGGCACAGCAGGTTGAACTGCTGAGCTGCTGAATTTGCAGACTGAAAGGTTAGCGGTTCGAATCTGGAGAGCAGGGAGAGCTCCCACTGTTAGCCCCACCTTCTGCCAACCTAGCAGTTGGAAAACATACAGATGTGAGTAGATCAATAGGTACCGCTTCTGCAGGAAGGTAACAGCACTCCATGCAGTCATGCTTGCCACATGACCTAGGAGATGTCTACGGACAATGCCGGCTCTTTGGCTTAGAAATGGAGATGAATACCACCCCCCCCCCCCCCCCCCGAATCAGACACGACTAGACTTAATGTCAGGGGAAACTTTTACCTTTACTTATACACTGATGACAAGATTTTAATTTCAATTACTTGTGTAGGTCTGAAAAGGCTTATTTTGTTGAAAAGCTAAACATTCATTATTCTAAAACAAAGGTGACTGGTGTTTGGAAAAATAATCCTCATTTTCAATGAATCATCAATTTAAACGCATTTTACAGATAACCTTTCAAGAATCCTCATATACATAGATGCAACTAAAGCATTGGTCATGAGATCTATGGAAGTTATCCATAGATTTTACAATATTGTGTGGGTTTACATTGTTGTTCCAGCCCTGAAAATACTCCAGCGCAAAGTCATTGTTCAGAGTCTGCATGATGTTGTCTGTAGAAGCGATGATTTTCAGATGGCTAAATTGGAGATGTTTCAGAATACATTTCTTAAGAAACTTTGGATGTTGCCACCTGACACTTCAGCAGCTTTGTTTCTGGCACAGGTTGATTTTCCTTTCATCAGATCTCACATTCATTTTATTTTATTTTATTACAGGATAATTTTAAAAAATCCTAAGTCAGTTTTTTGTCCAGTTAGGTTTTGGACGGTTATTGAACTACAAAGTTTGGAGTTCAAGGTATTACACCATCTTGAATTCAAAATACGAGAAGAAGCTCTGCAAGTATATTTTTGCCCACGCACCTTCTCAGATTCTAATTTCTGGATTTTTTTAAAATTGTGTCAGAAAGTGGCTTCTGGTGTGAGAGAATTGGCTACCTGCAGAGACGTTGCCCAGGGGACGCCTGGATGTGTTACCATCCTGTGGGAGGCTTCTCTCATGATGCCACATGGGAAGCTGGAGCTGAATCTTGCGGATTCAACCCGCCGACCTTCAGGCCAGCAGTTCAGCCGGTACAAGGGTTTAACCCATTGCACCACCATGACTCCTATTTCTGAAAATGGCACCGAAGTGCTGTTTACTTGGCAAAGCTTACATTTCCAAATTTTAAACAAGCTTTTACAGTCCTTTGCTTTTAAACCATGCCCACAGCTATGATTCAAGGCTGATAATCTAATCTATCTTCCCCTTTGTTTGGGGAAGATAGATGCCTTATCTTTAATTTGTCCTTTATACATAGGATCAAGAACAAATAATTTTGGGGATCTAATCTACCTCACCTACACTCTATTTCTCTCTCTCTCTCTCTCTCTCTTTGACCTGGTAGCAATGAAAATTCCAGGAAGGTTAATCACTATTGGTTGATTGTTCTAGGGTTATTTTTTTATCTAATCATAACATTTCATTTATATGCAAGTGTTTTAATCCTACTGATTTTTTTAAAGTATTCTAAATTTAAATTCTATGTTGTACTTTTGAATTACACTCATTTGTTTTGTATGTGAATGGCCTGTGGTTCAACCATTTAATGATAAATTACTGAACTACTACTGCAAACCCAATGAACCACAGGAAACACCTCACTCCTCAATACAAATATGTTTATGTGCAGCAGATAGAGATTAGCCAGAAATATTACAACCAATGAAACAGGGCACATGACCCACTGCTGTTAATTCTTAAGAAAAGCAGGGCAGTGTGGCATGTAAATGCTGCCTAATATCCTAATGATCTGAAGTGTCTTAATCTGTTGAGTCAGATCAATGGTTTATGCAGCCCATTCCTCGCTCCTGACTGGCAAGAGTCCTTTTATTTTTCAAGAGGACCAATTTTTACCTCTAGTACCTAAGACTCTTTACTGAACCTGAGATCCTGAGCAGTGAAAATATGTGGTCCATCACATTACTTATAGCAGTTCTTGAAGCAAATATAGCCGCGTTTTTAATTTCTACCAACTATATGCAACTTTTGGACAGTTGGGTACTCTGGGACTAACTGGTTCTAGAAAACACATGTGGAGAAACTGTCTGGTGATACTCAAGTTCCACCTAGTGGGCAAAACATGCAGCACCTATTTGCACTGCACACTTTAGCAACTGAGTTAATTATTAATATAAAGAACAAACACACATATGAAACAATAGTAAAATACATTTTCTTCACAGCATTCATTTCAAACTCAAGAATGCATACAAGCATGCATACAGAAATACACACACATACCTAAAACAGAGGTAGATGACTTTGACAGGCAATAAGACTCGGCATATTCTTTGTGAGCAATACTTGCTGGGAGGTTGATGCCATTTAAATTTTATGCACCAGAAACACTTGGATTTGACACAAAATGCAGCCAAGCAGTAGCTAACCCAGCACTTGGAAATATTAGATGAAGTATATGTGGAAAATATCATCAACCCTTGTCCAGGAATGCAAATGACATGATTGAAATTCTAATACACTGATTTAAAAATAGGTGGTTCACATTGCTATTCTTTGTTTGAACCATAAGCACTGATATAGTTGATGACAGAATGTTTGCATGTGTATGAAGTCCCAGGTGTCCATCTCTTGTATCTATTCTTACTCTTTTTGACAAAGTTCATCTATTGCATTATTCTGATTCTCCTATTCCTGAGACTATTGTCTCCTGCTGTGCCTCTATCCATGGCAGGAAAAGTATTTCCTTCACTGCAATCAAGCCATTTCCTGTACCTCTTAAGGGCAATTCCACACTAGGTGTGCTTTCAGACAGTTTTTATTGTATAATTACCCTGTTGCATTCTCAGATTTTTCAGGAGGAAAGAGGAAGAATTCAGAAAATGCTTTCCTACGTTTTCCCCATGTCTCTTCTACCATTTCCCCACTACCTTAGAAATCCAGTCATCTGTTACTACTGAAAAAAGGGAACATCCGTGCAATATCCACAGATACTACACTATTATTATCCTTCAAATGTGCCTGTTGTCAATCCAATGCAGGTTACACCTTTAAAATATGACAGCTTTCAACACTTTGTTCATGTTCAAACCATATTTAAACAGTGAGAGGTTTAAACAGTCCTAAGATTTGACTAAGTTAAGAATTCATTCCTGTCAAGTCAAGAAGTAGGTACCAAGTAGCACAAAATTTGTTTATTTTACCTGTTATTATATCATTCCCTTTTTAAAAGTTCTTACACATCTGCAACACACAACTGCACATGACAATTCATTAATTTGTATAATATTTCTCTTGCATCAAGAATATGCACATATGAATTAACAGGAGGACAAGTATAAAACATCAGCATCACAAATAGTTTGACAAGAGGATCGATTTCCCCTAACACAAGAGGGAAAAATATTTGTTCTTCTGTTCCGACATCCGAAGGCATAGAAATAAACACATTATTCAGTGACAGCAACCAACTTGATCCCAGCTGACAAAAGATTTTTAATATCAGAATTCCAGTTTAATTATTAAGGACAAATGTAGCCCAGTCTTCCTAGGACTGTTCCATGAAGAGTGTCCAGGAGTGGAAAGTTCCCTTGGTGAAAACCTAGCACCAGAATTAGTGGCATTCCTTTGAACTCAGTATCTTTCCCGGGTAAAAGATAGATGTTTTACTTTGGGAAGGTGCATGACACTCTTGATACCATGACATGATACATCCTAGGCTGAATATAAAAATGAAGAACCAGAGACCAGCATGAGATGGTTCTTCAAAAAGTGAAAACCTTATTGGAATTTTCAAACAGAAGATTCTGTATTATTAAATCTCAAAAAGATATGTTCAGTCATCAATGAAAATTGGAGAAGGACTTAAATTTTTACCATCATAGCATAGAACTATTTTCCAGGAAAATGATGTGAAATAGTTTATCATACCGTAAGAACAATTAGATAATGTGCAAAGGGCTGATGTAGTGAAGCAAAATGGGTTTGTACCAGCTTGATGTAATACCGTAAGAACAATTAGATAATGTGCAAAGGGCTGCAAAGTTTCAAGGATGGTCTAAAACTCAAACCTCAATAATGTGTAGCTCAGAAAATACAGTTGTCTCTCTTCTTGGATATCGTATCTAATATGACTCTAAATGCAGTGTGAAATGCAGCTTGATAAGTGTCCTAAACTGTACAGCTTCTCTGCACAAAACCTGAAACAATTAGTAAAGAGGAAAGAATGGAGATAATGGCTACTAAAGGATGGGTGTAAGAATATTTGTTTATTACAAATTAACTAATTGGCAGACTGTGTGCTTTCCCTTTCTAAAACAAATTTACCTTGAGTATATGTGTATGATGAGGAGAGAGAAAGAGGAGAGACAGATATTTTGTATTAAAGCTATCAGTCCCATACTCTGTTATTTGGAGAAGGGACATGTTAGTTATTAGTCATGTGGAATCAGGGAAAACTTTGTCCCATTTTGTGTCCCAGCTTTCGTTGGGGGTCCTGATCCATTTTTTGTAAGCCCCCCAAATTTGGGAGGGTTGTTTTCAGTTCTTTTGTTTTGGGCCCCCAAAAATCAGATCATTATTGGGGGGGGGGATTCTCACCCACTGGCTCCCCTTCCCAGTGTGCATTCTTCTTACCTAGCACCTGCTGTTTCTACTCTAGAGTAAGAGGCTTGGCTGTAGGCACTGGTAGGTGCATACTCTCCAGGCCTGCCCGCACACCCTGCCACACACACAATCTCTTTGGAAAGAGTATGTGTGTGTGGCGGAGCATCCAAGCATGCCTGGAAAACGTGCACTCAGCTGCAGGCCTGCTCTGGGCCTGCCTGCACACCCCACCACACACCCCACCACACTCTCCGAAAGTATGTATGTGGTGAGGTGTGCAGACAGGCCTGGAAAGCATGTGCACCTGCCAGTGCCTGCAGCAGAGTGCCTGTTACTCTAGAGTAAGAGGTACTCAGCTGCAGGCCCACTTTGGGCCTGTCTGCACACCCCAACACACATGCCACCTCTCTCTCAAAGAGCGCATGTATGGTGGGATGTGCAGCCAGGCCCGGAGAGCACCTGCAGCCAAGCTCCAGGCCTGCCTGCCTGCCCTGCCACACATACACACTCTGTCCAAGGCAAGGAGGCACATGAAAGCAGGTTGTAGGCAGACTTTCATGCCAAGTAGATTTTCATGTGGGGAGGGGGCTTCCCGTTTCGTGCTTCTGAATAAATGGAAGACAGGAAAGAAATAGTAGAAATGAATTTTGCACACATGTCCAATAGGCATAACTGCAAATTGTTCATTGTTGCCAGCACAACAGTAACAGAAATGTAGCTTTTCCAGTCCAATTTTATGCATGCTTACTGTGGTATATGCTCCATTAAGCTCTACAGCACTTGCACATTTGACTGCTCACCCATTCTGTTGTCTGTAGAAAAGTATAGGAAATATGTGCAAAACATATGATTCTGAAGTGGAAGAGGACAGAGAATTTCTAATAATGTATCAGGAACTTAAGATACTGCATCCCTTTTATGAAATAGTCACATGAAAAGGGGATCATTGTGTCAGTGCAAAAACAAACCGGTTTTAACTGCAAATGTAGTATTTATCAGAAATCTCCATAAAGCAATAGATAACCACAAGTGTTTCTCCATTTCAGGCTGAGCTGCCAAGCTGTCCTGTATCACACAAAATGTAAAGTACAACCCATGAGGAGTTTTCCTAGGGCAATCCCAGTTCAAATAAACAAGTTCATTCTGAGTTATACCTTCAAGAAACTTCTAGTTTAGATGGTTAGGATTGTGAAGGGTCCCCAGATATAAGAGTTGCCAGATCTCACAGAATGGAAGTAATTTGCAAAAGGGCATTTCCTCCATCAGTTTTTTTACTTCAGTAGAACCCACCTGTATGTACAGTTTTCTCCCCAAACAAGATCATTTTGCAGCCACCCAAACATGCTATGATAATAGTACGAGTAATCATAATCCTAAACACGAACTCGTGCCACCAGCTTGTTGTACAAACAGCTGTTTTGAACATTTTTATCTTTTTTAATAAAAAAACCCCACCTACAAACACTTATGAAATTAAATAGCCTATTCTCAGAGAAAAGATACTTCACAGATTACAACCATGTGCAAGACAGGTACAAAAGAGCAATAGATCATAGAGGTTCCATAGTATGTCTTACACAAAGAATTAATATTTAACAGTTAAATGTCACTAAATAAAAGCTCCATAATCATTAGTCCAATAAATATTACTGAACATAATTCCAAGTAATTCCCTTTCTTTTTGGATTTGTTAATATGACAACTCATGGCATTGTGATCATTCAGTGTAAACAGTATTGATTTAAAAACAACTAGTGAAATCCATCATTTATATTAGCATGATCCTGTTCAGCTCCCAATAATATTAATAGTACTTGTGCAGGAAAAGGACACCCATAAACATCCTCCAGCCTTCTTCCTTATACACTTTATGCTGAGAAGTAAAATATTTGATTTGTTTTGAATAGGGGAGGAAAATTCAACAGTGACTCTCCAACTGCAGTTTGAAACAGTATAGTTTCATGATCTCTGCACAGCTTGGCTTTAACAGGAAACATTGTCTAAATATGTTATGGTAAATAGCAAGAATCCCATGACCTTTCCCTTTCGAGTCCAGTGATTCATAATGCATCTGTTATGTCGCTGTGGAATAACATTTCAGACACTTTAAAAAAAGTCAATTAGCAGCAGATTTCTTCCAAAATTCTGAAGAACGTTGACATCTTTTTGTTGTTGTAATATGGCAGTAGTATTCATATTGTCAGCCAGCTAAGCCTGGTCATCTGATCTCAGCCTACAGCAGTCATCTATCCTCTTTCTATATATTATTCTCTAACATAATGTCTTTCCCAGTCCTAGTTCTCCAATCACCTGTTTGTGCAGAGCCAGCAACCTGTAGAATAAGTCAAGGTGGAAGTGGCAGGAAACAAGGATGTTGGTCAGAGATACTGAATGGACCCTCCTCAATATGCATATTGTACCAAAAGACCCTAATCAGGCTAAAACAACCTGCATATTGGACTGGAATATACATTATCAAAGCAAATATGGTAAAGTGGATTTTTACAGTAAAGAAGCAGAAGAAAATAGAGAGGGGATGATATTTTTTTTCCATTTCCCAATTATTCCTCCATATCTGTAGCCAGACATATTTTCAATCTTAGAGTAAGTGGGGAGCAAATCAGGACAATGGGCCTGATAGCAGGGGGCAAGTTTTATGTAGAAACAATCTGGATTTGGTAAATCAATGCTTGCATGAATTCCTTGGATATTTTTTTTCCATGTCAGGAGCGACTTGAATAACTGCAAGTCACTTCTGGTGTGAGAGAATTGGCCACCTGCAAGGACATTGCCCAGGGGACCCCCAGATGTTTTACCATCCTGTGGGAGGCTTCTCTCATGTCCCAGCATGAGAAGCTGGAGTTGACAGACAGAAGCTCATGCTGCTCCCAGGGTTTGAACCGCCAACTTTTGGTCAGCAGTCCTGCTGGCACAAAGATTTAACCCATTGCACTACTGGGGGTTTCAACAGGTCTACATGGAATTAACAATTGGTTTAGGATAAAAAAAAATAAACATATTCTCTGCTTCTTCCCTGAAAATGGCATGCTGTTCTCACATTAGGGACCCCATGCTAGCCTTCTGCCTGGGTCATCCCAACCTCCAGGAAATAGATCACATTATGCAGTTGGCTCAAAGACCACAACATTCTCTGCAGAAAGCACTTCCACTGAATAAAATGGATTCCCTCCCCCTTTGCCCATGACATCAATTCCCTTTATAAAATAATTGGGCAATATCACAGCAGGGAAGACTCACTGTGGGTTGTTGTTTGCTTTAAAGGGATTAAAGAAAACTCTAACTAGTTGAAATGTGCAACTTGGTTTGTGTTGGAACCCATCAAAAGGGAGCTGCATGATACAGCTGTCTGTTATGTCACCCATTTGGAAGCATTTCCCAAGACAACAACAAAATAAACTGTAATATAAAACAACATGAGGATATTTTAAAAAGGGGGAAGAGGAAAAATTCATTTGTTTTTTTGTCACCTCAATAGCTTATCTCAGCAGTTTCCAGAGAAGCTGACTGCTCACCAGAAGACAGCTTCTCTTTCCAGTTACATGCATTTGTCCTCAGTTTAATAAATATAAAGTGACAAATCTATCTCACCTATTTAATGTTTTACCAGCTTACTTGACTGCTGACTTTCTGCTCAACCACCTGTTATTCAATTTTACAGAAGCATTCCCCAGTCAATGTATGATCCTTGTGCCTCTACTGGATGAAGCTGTTTCCATGATGAATACACACTGGTTTTGTCATTGAGTATTGTGCAAAAAACAAAGAAAAGAGTCTCTGTTCCATTGATGGAATCTCCTATGAAGTGAGTTTCGAATAACTTGGAGGAGAAAACCTTCGCCTCAGATACTTTAGGACGTAGAGCGGAAGGCAGCTGACCAAAGTGATTACTGTCACCTTCCACAAGAACGACAAGGTTGCAATGAAGTAAACATCTGCAAGAGATGAGAAAATGTCTCAACGAGCAGGCAAACTAAAAGGAGTAGGGGGATGCAAAGTACACTGAGGAGAACAAAGCAGCAAAGAAATGTTCCATAATTTAAAATGACAGTTACTCAAGTACATCATGTTACTTTCCAAATAAAGAAAAAAAATGTGTGAAGACCCTCTTGCACATTTAAGGATTTAAAAAATGCTTTATGGGGAATGTTTGTAGGTGGTTACCTATTTTGGCAGTTATCAGAATAAGACCGTGAACTATAATTCAGAAACTTTACAGGAAAACCATTAAGGATGACTCAGTATACCCCAAATATTACCACAGACATAGCATTGTTTCACTGTCATTTATGAGCTGGTTAGAAATCTTTTTGGATTCCATGAGTCTATGACTTCTCCCAGGGGGTGGCCAAGGCTGACAGGGAGCTGTGTCATGAGCTGGTCCATGAGGGCACAAAGAGTCAGAAGCAACTGAATGAATAAACAATGACAACACCAACAACAACATGACTTCTCCTGATATACCTCTGCAACACTCCATCTTTATTCCACTACTGGTAGAAAACCACTACAAACACATGACCAGTGGTGTAGTTTTCCACTGAACTGAAAAAGCAGCATTTTCTCCAAATTCATCAGCTCCTCAGCCCTTCTTTCAAGAAGAATTATTATTTTATTTATTTATTTAGAAGTTTTATATACCGGCCTTCTCACCTCGAACGAGGGACTCAGGTCGGTTTACAACATGTATGCAAATACAAAAAGGTTTGTTCTCTCTTTTTATGGCACCAGATCTCATCTGAACATGGAAGATCTGGTTAGTACTTAGATGGGAGATCACTAATGAATACCTGGTCCTATAGGGCATATAGAATTATAGAATCATAGAGCTGGAAGAGATGTGGGTCATCCAGTCCAACTCTCTGCCAAGAAGCAGGAGCATTGCATTCAAAGCACCCCTGACAGATGGCCACCCAGCCTCTGTTTAAAAGCCTCCAAAGAAGGAGCCTCCACTACTCTCCAAGGCAGAGAATTCCACTGCTGAACAGCTCTCACAGTTAGGAAGTTCTTCCTAATGTTCAGGTGAAATCCCCTTTTCTATCATTTGAAGCCATTGCTCTTTCTATCGTTTGAAGCCATTGCTCTTTATCATTTTAGTTGTCCTCCTCTGGACACATTCCAGCTTGTCGTCTCCCTTCCAATTCTGTGGTGCCTGGAATTGGACACTAGACACCTACGTATTTATGCAGGTCAAAATCCCATTGGCTTTTTTAGCCACTGCATGACATTGTTGGCTCATGTTTAACTTGTTGTCCATGAGAACTCCAGGAAGGATTGTGGAAAAACCATGTGTCTGAAAGGATTTGGCAAAAACACCTTTGAATGTTCCTTGTCTACGAAAACCCTATCTAATTCATGCAGTCACCATAAATCAACAGGCAACTTTAAGGCATGTGCACACATCTCTTTAACTACTTAGATCAGATGTACATTGTTTGTGTATGTGTGTGTGTGTGTGTGGGGGGGGGGGGGAGGGAGAGATCTCTTGAGTGCAATATGATCAAAGAAATTATTTCTGAGATGTGCAGATATTTAAACAGTAATTTAGCATACTATAAGTGGTGCATTTATGGTTTTGGCATGGTGTTAAAAAAGATCAGAGGTTTATGCCATTACTTTTTGAATGATTCTCATAGTTAACATCTGATTAAGCAAAGGGGGTAGGATACATTTTCAGCCTAAATGCAGAGTTGGCTTTGAGAAAGTACTCTGCATATCAATCAGAGCCAAACAATTATCCCTATTTCCCTTGTTCTGCAATGGGTATGTGTGTGTGTATGTATGTGAAATCTCTTAATCCCCAAAACCTGGGGGAAGAGATTTTACCTAAGTGTGTGTGTGTAAAGGTTCCCCATGAACCACATTATGTTCATTAACCATAGATTCCCCATACTTGATAAATACTGTAGTTTGCTAAATGCAGTGTTAGATTAAATGCATTTAAACTAAAATGGTGTGCGTATGTATGTGTGTATTTAATTAATTAATTTGGAAAAATGACGTTAAAAAAATATTTCCATTTTTCTGTCTTGTCTTATTTCTTTGAAAACTGATATTTTCTTATACCTGAACTTTGCATTTAAAAATTTAAAAGGCAAAATGATATTAAAACAAAAAACACTCTCAATATTTAGATTTTTTTTCAATTAAAGAAAGGAAAAATATCACATTTTGAGTTTTAAAATAAAGGCTTAAATACAACTAATGCAAATCTGAATATGAAACCTGGCCATTAACTAGCAAGTTGTCATTGCAGGACATAGTATGTAGACAATGACCTACAAAGTGATCTTGTAAAATTTTATCTAAAGTAAGAAAAATACAGATATGTAAGTAGGAAAAATGAATTTCAGAAGTGGGAAGGTTCCATCTTTACAAATGGGCTTCAATATGTGTGTGTGTGTAAATAAAGAAAGAAATGTTTGAAAACTCAGCCTTTAGAATAAGCAATAGCATCTGCAGATGTGGGAATGGAGCAATTTCAGACCACTTTGCAAAAGAGCAGTTGGGCTCCTTATGTTTTCCTTGCTCTTTCAGCCATTCTATTACTTCAGTTGTTCCATTTCTGCAAGATTACACTAATAATAATGGATGTAAAAAAAAAACTTCATAGAGATCTTTGCTATATTTCCCACACTGCATGTTGCCCCAGAACTACAGATTATCTCTTCTTCACTTGACAGAATAAGTTTATTTATTCATTTGAAAACATGAGAGAACCATCCTAGGTAAAAAGAAGGAAGACTCTAAATATCAAGATATTCTCTTCATAGCCTTGTGATACTATTTCCAGAAAGTTGGAAGTAATGAGGGAACCTGGGATGGTGTAGAGGAGTTATTATCTCTTGCCATATCATTTCCCTTTGAAAAATTAAAAAATGTCCCCTCACTCCAAGAAAAGGAACAGAATTCATTTTGCTCAATTTCCTCCTATATTCAAGTAATTGTTCAAAGTTGGGAAGACCTGTATTTCCAAGCGATCCTTCTCCTCTTTATCCCCATCTATGCAACAACTTTTTATTTCCATCTTTTCTGAAGTCATAGTTTGATCTCATAGAAATGGGGTGGGTGGATAGGCAGTATAGCCCCCCCCCATCCACTCCATGGAACCCATTTTTTCTATTATAATTTATTATATCTATATTCTGGGTTTGGACAATAAGATTAATAGTGAAGGCATTGGTTTTATGTTTGTATTGTATGGATTTTTGTTTTAAATGTTTTTTAATTGTATATTGTTATGGCATCAAATGGTTGCCGAGTTGTAAGCCACCTTGAGTCACCTTCGGGTTCAAGAAAGGTGGGATAGAAATATCGTAAATAATAAATAAATTAATTAATCTATGCTGTAAACTTACTTTATCCTATATCGTAAATAATAAATAATAATAAATTAATCTATGCTGTAAACTTACTTAATCCCACTTTCACGGAGGTTAGGGTGTTGGACCCCCATGTGAAGTGAAAAAAAATCACATTTGTTAAAAAGGCAATACTTTTTTTCACCTTTTATATTTTTCATGAAATCTCTAGGTTCCACTTATATAGCAATGTCCAAAAGAAGTTGACCATAAAGTGACACTAGAGTATTCAGAGAATCTTAAAGAAACCATATTAATCGCATCCACAAATAATCAAATCCACAAAAGTTAAACGTACAAACATGAACCAACTGTACAGCTGGCCCTAAGTTTGCAAACCCTTTCAACTGTAAAATTTTGACAAATACAAAATGATGCTTCTTACCAATAAACTCATGTAAGAAGACCAATGAGGCAATGTAGCAGGAAAGGCTGAGTAATTCTGCCACTATCATGAGCCAGTGCCAGGTTTGGATTGTCAATGCCACCATCAACAGCTCAGTGAGGATCAAGGATGTGAAGGAAATCGCCACAATGTGAACAAACTCTGATTCAAACAGCAGGAGTGCCCCATACATGATAATGCTCCCTGTTAAGTGAAAGGAAAAAGAGCAGTGGTTACAGTCCTCACCAACAGAAACTACATAAAACTATTGGAATCTGCATTATTTAAAATATCCTAGTTTTCTGAATTTGCCTAGTTGTCTGAATTCAAATATCATTATCAACAGCAACGGCAGCTTCTACTCATTTCAAACAGAGACATGGTTAGTCTTATTTAGCATATTTATTTATTCCTCTTGGGTACCTGCTTCCTGCCCATATTCCATTAAGTGCAGGAGAATTTGACTTCTAAGTGCACTAAATACCGAGTGCACTTCATTGTATGCCTCATCCTCATAATGGATGAAGTAGCTTGAGCTCCCTTATGTCTGTTTGGCACATCAGCTTTTTATGTAAAATGTACTGAGTGCTTCGCACACATCATTAAATCTTCACAGCATTATAAGAAAAAAACTCTGTTTGCTTCATACAAAAGGCTCAGATGGTCCATCATTGTGTCCCACAATGACTAAACAGGTATCTCAATACATAGGCCCATAAACAGAACATGATGCTCAAACCGTCTTTCATTCCTGATCCCCAGCAACAATAACTGAAAAACACACCATATCTGGTACAGAAAGTATCATTTTCCTCTATTAATTTATCTAATCTTCTGTTAAAACCTATCATGGTTTCCTATGGAAGATAATTCCACAGTTTAATTGTCTACTTCCTTTTAGCTTCACTGGGTAACTCTCACTCCAAAATTATTACATACACAACTATCTGCATAATAATGTTATACCAACTCTGTACATTATGTCATTATTCATATATAGTGCAGATAGGATCCAGGTTTGCTCTAGATGTTGGAATAATACTTTTTTGGTCATGCTGCCTGGGAGATTCTGGGAGTTGTAGTTCAGAAATAAACGTTTCAAGATTCAAGTACGCTATTAGTTTAAAACAGTGGTTCTCAGCCTATGGGTCTCCAGATGTTTTGGCTTTTAACTACCAGAAATCCTAACAGGTGATAGATAGATACGTTTTATTGATTGGCCTATTGGCCGTATCAAAACATTTAACACATAACACATGTAACACATAACACATTTAACACATAGTCATACAACATACAACCCTCGGTATAAGAGAGGTTAAAATAAAAGAGGTTAAAATAAACAAACTGTTGGCAGATCCCGTTCAGGTCAAATATCTGTGTCACCTCCACAGTTTACCCCAATTGATTCTAAATGTGCAATTCTCAGCTGTGTTGCTTTGAATAGAAAAAGGGCTGTTTTGTGTGTTATTTTAGGATTCTGGCCGGCCAACAAAAATGAAGTTTTAATATGTGGATCCCAGTGTGTTTTGTGAGTAATGTATGGTCCAAGGCAATGGTCTCTCTCTTTCTTATACAGCTCACAGTTGAACAGAACATGTGTGATATCCTCCACCTCTGATGCTCCGCAAATACAAACTCGTTCGTTGTATGGGACCTGATTAAACCTTCCGTGCTTGCCCATTGAATCCAGCTGCTCAAAACGAGCTCTGGTAAATACCCTCCTAAGGTGTAAATACCCTCCTAACAGGTGGTAAACTGGCTGGGATTTCTGGGAGTTGTAGTCCAAAACATCTAGGGGCCCATAGGTTGTGAACCACTGGGCTAAGACAAGGATTTGCTCAAAGAAGTTCTTGACTGGAGTGGGACAGGAACCTTTTCACAGCTATCTTAAGCTTATTTACTGAACTGAGCAGTATTTACATTCAGGAAAACATACTGAAAACTTGTATTAAGTGACAAAGAGGGAGTGAGACTGAAAATCACTTTGCATCCTGCATCTGGATGATCTGAGAATAGCTACTCGAGGTTCCAGATACTCAGCTGCAGACATAACTCATGTCATTAGGATGAGTAATCTGCACTGATGAGTAATCCACAGCCTGTTTGAAGAACAATTCTACCAGTGACTCAAGATCAAGCCGTAAAATACAAACCCAGGGAGTAACCTTTCCACCATCTGCCTCATTTTGGGCTATCCCTGATCGTGGACCCTAACTCCTAGCCAAATTGCATGGTGTGATCCATCAAGAGGTGAAGTCATCTGACCCACAGAATGTAATAGGAGAAGGCACTTGGCTGAAACCTCTTTCCCACGATGTCTCACTCTTTCTGACTGTCCAGAAACTGTATTCCCTCTAGGAAGGCCTTGATACTGTTCTAGAAAATGATTCAACCCTTTAAAAAACCAATTGCTGTTGTAACATTTTCTCCTGTGGCTTTGTTACCCTCCTAATGTCATTTACATTTCAGATTTTGCTTTAATATAATACAGAAGAAGGAGGGGAAGGATGTAGAGGTTGTAATTTATGTAGGGGAACTGAGCCCTTTTAAATTTGAAGCTGAACTAGGAAACAGATTGACATGGGTTGCAGCCCTTGGCTTGGTTTGCAAAATGTATGACTCTACTGGAGAGCACTGTTGCTCTGACATTCCCCAGCAAGATCCTTCCCCAGCTGAACCACCATTGCACATCAAGCACATCCAAAGCATTCACACCAGGACAAAGCCACCTAGATGCTCAAGTTGAATATATGTCTTCCAGGTTCTATGCCACTGAACTCTGTGGTGTAGTCTCCTTCTCTGGAGGTTTTTAAGCAAAGGCTGGATGCCATCTGTTGAGATTGCTTTGATTCCTGCATGGAAGAGGTTTGAGTAGCCCTTGTGATCTCTTTAAACTATGATTCTATTATTCCTCTCCATTACTCAAAGTCATAAGAGGTGTCCAAGTGAAGTGATAAAGGGCTATAATTGATCTTTTGCATATAATTGATACATCAGCATCTTGAATTTGAGACTGTAGGAGCAGAAGCAAATCCCTCAATCTGCTACTATGACAATTTGCTGGCGGCCCTCTCTCTACTGTGATCCAACATGGTCACAAGTTGCCAGATGGAAGTATTACAGCTATCCATTAAACCAGGATCAGGTGATATAAAGGACTAACAAAGTTTCATTAAGTTCTAAGCAGCAGTTAATCCTGGCTTTATTTTTTTTTGTTGGAACAACCCATTAATAATAGGGATGCTAAATGCTGTGCTGTTTTTGAGCAGATTATCTCTGGCTTTCTTCCAGTTAGCCATCTTGTTTCCCCAACATCTATTCCACATGCTACTCTTTGTTTATGGAAGTACAAAGACTGAAGCCAGTAACTGTGTAAATACAAAAAGACAGAAGGAAAGTGAGAAGGACTTTCAGTGGTGAGAGAGGAAGAATGAGTGTATGTGCACATTCAAGGGTTTTGCAGACTAGCAAAATCGGAACGTATTAAATATAGTCAGAAATAAGCATATTTGGTTTGGGTTCCTAAGTCTATCTTCTTTGAATTTGGGTTAATTTAGTAATAATAACTTTATTTATAACCCACCCTATCTCCCTGAGGGGACTTTGGGTCGTTTCCAACAAAGGATGGCAAACATTCAATGCTATAAAACAATACAAAATGAAAAAAAACCCATGAATAAAACATCTATAACAAATTATAACAACTAATCACAAAGTTTAAATAACTTAAAAAGCATATAAATCTATTAAACCTACAAAGTAACAAAACTAATCAATTTATAAACAATTAAAAACAGTTTAAAAACCTTTGTTATATAATTTGTTGCAGACATCTGGGACATTTTCATTAGAATATACACATCAAATTTGTAAAAAATGAGGACTGATCAATTTACTTCAATGTTGTCCATTCAAACAAATGAAGATGCTTACCTTGGTATATACTTATCAAAACCCATATCAAAAATGTCTTGTATGATAATGGCCTTCCCTAAAAACATGTGGACAGAAAAATATGAAAATTAGTCTGATTTATAAAATGTTACGCTCATATGACGAAACATGGAAAAATAAAGTAGAAGACATGTCAAACCTTTAAAAGATCCTTGTAAAGCTCTGGGTACAGCATGGCAACTTCTGATTTGACATCTTTGTCCAGTACGAGAGAAAACACTGGAAACATGGTATAGAGAGTAGAGTACCTGAAAGCAACAACAGAAGAAGTCCTTGGTGAGTCTTACAATATCAATAAAATCTTTCAAGTGTTTCCTCCTTCTGTGATAGCTTCCATCTTTTTTTCTGTATATTGCACAAAAGTATTGGAAATTATAAAAACTGAATGGTAGAAGTGGCAACAATAAATTACACTATCATCCAGTTTTTTTAAAACTACTGCTATTATTGTTCCGCAACTCTAAACAATCAAATTTTAGGAAGTGAGAAGCACACACTTTTTATTTATTTGTTTCAAAATTTGTATTCTGCTTTTGTCTTCCTGAATGTATTACATTGTTACTGCTTTTCAAATAAAAATTGCTTTAATACCTGAAATGGTCCCTAATCAAATCCATGAGCTTATCACAGTGGCTTGATTAAAGTGGCTTTGGAAAGGAGAGGCTTCAAATTCTCATTATGATAACAGTGGCTGTTCACAGGAAGAAAAACAGTTGATGTTCTTAGCTAGTGCCACTCACTGCTGTAAATGCTTCCAAAAAGATGAGGGTTTCAAACACATCTCTTTTCATTTTCAAGTTTCTATTTACATGCTGGGGGGAAGTACTTAGTTCTTACCCAATGATGAGGAAGCCCTGGTAAAGGGGGACTGAAGCAAAGTAGAACACCGAAGAGAAGACAGCCTAAGGGGGGAAAAGGAGAATTCTTCTTAAGTTTCCAAGCAAAGAACATCTGTTGATATGAATTCATCTGGATAGTTATTATAAGGGAAGTGGTGGCCTTGGACAAGACTGGAACTTGGTGATCATAGGCAGTTACAGACAGCAAGTATTTCCTTTACACCCAAAAGATGCTCTGTATACCCATCACCTTTTCGTTTCTAAGAAAACAAAGGTTTTCATGCACTTTGAAAACAATTTCAGTGCCCTTAAGACCAATTGTATGTCTCCATATATGGAAGCCCTGCTGGAAGATAGCTTGTTTGTATTATCCATGTCACTGATGAATACTGATTTTTCACATTTGTACTTTAATCCACCTCCTTTACCTGGAATACTCATAAACAAAGATAACACTGCTCACCTGCATTGTACTGATGCACAGGCTTCTATGGATCACAAATTGGCTGAGAGCTGCAGATCTTTTATAGCTGTTCCTCCCATGCACCATCAGTAAACGGCCCAGATGCTTAAATTGAGTGATGGAGAAGTCTGCAGCAAGGGAAGCTTGCTTTCCTTCCTAGAGAGATGATTAAGTGATTTAAAAATCTGCACTATAAGAAGCAACAATTCTGCCAGAGACTAATAGATGTAATTCAAGGTTGGTTCCATATACTGTCTTTATACCAGCCCACCTATCAATTTTGACCCCATAATTCAGGCCCTGCTCCATAAGACCTCATTGGAAGGGATTAGTACTGTGATAGAAAGTAGAGGATTTTGTGTCCCTCAGAACAGGGAACTCAGTACAGATCAGAAGCCTACATTTTAATTTTGATGCAAAAAAGAAAGTACAGTTTTACTCAAGAGTGGATAACCACAGTCAAATTTTCTGTTCTTGGGATTGCAATTGAGCCACTCTTGCAAAAATGTGGGAAACAAAGCAAAAACTGGAGATCCACTTCTGGCTTGGAAAAGAAATGTGGATTATGCTTTGAAAGAGGGGGATATATCCTTTTCTTTTTGTTCAGAAAAATGGCAGTATGGGGAGATCAAGAGCAGAAAACAACCTTGAAGCACCATGTATAACCTCAAGGTTGTACTTTGTCCACCCAAGTATAGTTAACTGCTAAGCATTCTGTGTAGTGCATCAACTCTAAGCCCATCTTTTAAAGTAAAGCAAATTACATTTGGGTAAACTTTGGGGTTGGAAGTAATAATAATTCTCCAAAGAAGACATGGGCATATTGTGGCTTTCTGGTCTCATTAAGCCACTGGACTCTTCATTTGTGATACCATCTACCAGTCCCATAAAACATCTCAACATTCCACTTTTTCTGCAAAAGTTTTCCTCTAAACCCACAAGAAATCTCCCCTATACAAGGGAAAATAATTCAAGATGTTTCCACTGCACCTTCACAAGCACCCCAGAAACCCCTGTTACCTTCAAATACCTATGCTGAGCCTCTCAAAATGGCAATATGAAGTTAAGTCAATTCTGGTCTCCATTTTGTGAGGCAATGAAGAAGTAAATAGAGGTATTTCAGTTTGCTGTGAAGTGGCATTGCCTACGAGGCGGGTGGGGGTGACCTGTGGTTCCCAATGCATTTATCCCCCATGCTGTAGAGAGACGTACCCTTCCTTCAACCCCAACTCCACAGTCAGCCTCCTGAATCATACTGACATCATTGCCACCATCACCTGCAAGAAATAACATACAGATTGCAATGGAGAATCTTTGTGCAAATTCAACCCAGAAAGGTATATACAGTGGCCAAGATCTCATGTGGTCACAGCATTCAAGCAATGGACCTTAGGGTGAACCATTTTGCTTTTTGCTGGATCTCCACGCACAAGCATAAATGCAATGTTGCAGACCCGATATAGATAAGTAAAGATTGATATCAATAGCCTACAGCTTTTTCTCTTTTCTTCATTTTCAGCTCTGGGACATTGCATTTATGCAGGATATTCCAAATATCATTTGTTTATAAACATTTATCTGGGCCAACCTTTAGAGAGCAAATGGGTCACTATCTCAGTCACCCATGTGGACAATTTCGGAATTCTGGACAAGGGATACTCAACCTGCATATGACTATTAATAGATAACTGCACATTTCGCTGGCTTTGGTGCTCAAGCCCAATTTTCAAGGATAAAATAATCTTTTTTTTCAACATCTGGGGCATTGTCTCTTTTCCACAGGTCACCAAAGTGCTTCTAATCTGAGAGGGAATTAGGCAGATTTCAGTCTCTGACATCAACCTGAAGCTTAGAGACCCAATACTGCTGTACCAGGCTCCAGAGAGGTGCTTTACCTACTGCGCAGGTCAACTTTCCAGTTCTCTCCTGGAGCAAGCGTACAATCTGAGCTTTCTGTGTTGGGGCACACCTGCAGCAGACCACTGCTGGACATTGGCACGCTAATTCCATAAATTCATACTCGTAGTATTTCAAACACACCTATTACACAAAACAGATAAACAAGGGCTATGTGATATACACATTATTTCTTTCAACAACCCATTTCTTGTTTAATATGTCTGCTAGGATAACTCAGTTCTCACCTCCAAAGAATCACCAGAAATCACCAGGGCACAGTCATGCTTGCGTCGGAATGCATTAAGCTCCAAATGAGCTTCTCCACGGTTAGTCACCTGCAAAAACAAAGAAAGATAAAGCATAAATATACAAAATATTGCAATAGGGAATTACGATTTTTTAAATAAAAAGAGGCAATACAAAATTGTGTGACTAAAAAGCAAAGGATGATTAGCCCTGCCTTAAACACATACAGAACCAAGCTTTTAAAATGGATTACTCTGGACAAAAATAAGACTTCATAGACTCATAATGTCAGATTTTCTTACAGAATTTCTGGTTTTCTTACAGAAAACTAATGAATAAAAATGTGTAGGGAAAGAAGCTATGAAAACTAGAATTTTCTACACATGGGTTTAAGAAAGTTAAGCTGAAGCCTTCCATGTAAGAACTGTATCAAAGCAAAAGCTGTTAAAACAGGAAAATATATTATACTTTGTTCTTCAGAACACTCTTCCCACTATGATCATTCAACTTCATCAGATGCCTCTAGGTGTTGTGTAAATGCAATGATGGACGGAAAAAGATTAGGTCTGCATAATACTTTGTATCCTAACGGCACATTGGGGCTGGTGTGAGTTATACCACTCAATTCATAATGAAGTTCTCTGGACAAGTGCTAAGTAAGCTAGTTTCATTCATATTACTCACCAGTCTAAATATATGAATGTCCTGAGTCCTGGTTACCAGATGTGCATTCTTAGCTGTACACGTGGCTGTTTCTAGTTTATCTCCTGTGAGCATCCATACCTAGCATTAAACAAATATTCAATATTCCGAGATCCATAATAAATGAAAATACAAAAACAAATGACATAATGTTTCCTTTATGGCAAGCTTTTAACATATACAATGTTTTAAAGATGCCTTTCACAAGAATTTTGGAGAGTACAAGAAACACCAAATCAATCTAAGAACACTTACCCATAAAAATTAGTACACTAATCAGATCCAATAGCCGAATTGCACATTATTGAAAAACATGTGAAACTTGGGAACTGTACCACTTTAGACCACAACTATTTTAGTGTGATATTTTACAATACTGTTTCATATGTATGTCTATATTTATAAACAGAAATAAGAATGAGAGTCAGAGTGCACCATGTTCAATCTCTCTTCATACATGTCCCCTGCTCACACATTCATAGCAAGTATGCCATAAGACCATTCTACCAATCTCCAGTCTGAAGAGACAGACCATGTTCTCAATCTTTGGTTCTCCAGATGTTTGGATGTGAAGCCCTCAGAATTACTAAAAACTAAGCATAGTGGTGGGAGCATCTGGAAGTTAAAGTCCAAAACATCTGGAGAACAAAAAGAGGTGAACCACTGGATTAGAATCTTCCATTCTAATCCTTCTGTGATAGGAAGATAATTATTTAAAGCCACGCCATATGTAATTGCAAAGTAATTGAAGTTTATCCATGTTTCTTCTATTATAACTGAATACCATCAGATACCTGAAAACAGCTGATCTACATGCAGATTGTACATTTGGCTCCCAGGTGTTAGTGTTTTGAACTTATTTTCAGACATGACAGAAACATTCAGATGATATGTTATGGCACATTGTCAATTACCTGTTTGTCACCTATATTAACCCTGGGAAAAACATAACTGATCTCTATTATCTTCCTTAAATCCAATAATGTGTCTATCATATCAAGAATCAAAAGATGACATTCCAATACAATTTGGGTAGCAAGAGATTGCTTTGCTGTTCATTTCACCGATCATTGGATATATGAACATTTCAAAAGTTTCAAAGAGAGATCTGAATCCTTACTACTGAAACTGACAAGTGGTTTCTAGTGAGCAAAAAAACCTGTGAAAACTGGGTGACAATTTCTCCAAAGATTTCTGACAAAATAAGGACAAATATTCCTGCTTCTTGGCAGGGGGTTGGACCTGATGGCCCCAACTTAATGATTCTATGATTCTATGAATAATATTGGAATTTGAGAGTTTTTAAATGTAAAAACAAGAGACTTATTTTGGTAAAAATCAGGAGACCACCAATGGCATTTTTGAAAATGGGTGCTCAAATTTATCGTTAACGAAGTTGGTGTCAGTGATGTGATACTAGCTGTTCTATAAAGGTGATTGTAAATTGGTCCATGTGGCAATTCTCTCTATATAGCAGGCTGTCTGTGTGTAGAAACCCCAACAAAAAAGGTTTGTGGTGGTGTGGTGGCAATTCTGATATCCACAAAGTGAGTCACTATATATCATAAGGCGACATCTGCCATCCATAGCAGTTTAAAGAGGCTTTTGGCCTTTGCAGGGTAGATAGTCTATGTGCACAAGACCTCTAGTTCAGGACATCTGAAACTTGTCCACTCATGATGCCTTGGTTGTATAGTCTCATAGTATAATGGTGCCCTTTGCATTGGGCACCATTTTGGCCCAATAAATGTTGGTGTGACTCTAGATAATTGGTATATAAAATTGGTATAAAAATATAACATTTATTGATAACAATTTGGCATTTCCAAGGCTTGCTTAAACAGGATGACTTTCCTTTTTATGAAGTACAGTTGAAGTATCTTCTGCAGAGTCTACTGCAAAACAGATTAGTGAAAATATCTAAACTAATCATTAGATCATGTTCAGAAAACCTTTACTGTTGCCAAATTTTTGGGAACCCAACATTCAGCTAAGGGGATCACATTTGGTGTCAGGACCCACCATTTAAGAAGCAGTGCTCTAGTTAATCATAGTAAATTCTTCGCAAAATCAAAATGTCTTGACTTCATAAAATGCACAAAGTGCTACATGTTCTCCTGTCCCTTGGAAACATACCCAATGTAAAGGGTACCATTATGCTATGAGACTATGCAACCAAGGCATCAGTCCCCGGAAGTTTCAGAAAGATTTTCACATCTAAGGATTTTTGGGGATTTTTTAAAGTTTAGGAAAAAAAACCATTTATTTCCCCAAAAAGCCACAACAACAATCCCCTTGAATGTCTGTCTGTCTATACGGCACACAATTAATCACATAACTTCAACTGAGCACAGATTTATGCTATTACTTACTTACTGTAGTCCTCTTTGCTGGTTCAATAATTTTATTTATTATTATCAGGCTCACTCTAAATGGCTGGCTGCTGTAACCCTCATTGGAGCTTTCCGATGCTGAGCACTGTATTCTGGGAAATGTAGTTTGGGACAGGACCTTTCGAATTCTCTGCCAAAAGGAGCCTCGCCTTCCCAAACTACATTTCCCAGTATGCTGTGTTCTCAGTCTCCCACTCAACTCTGCTAGTCCCGTCCCAGCTACCCTTTCTTATGACAACTGGCAAAAGGGTCTTAATTTAAACTCTACCAATGGCCTTTTGGATAAAGTTGCTTAATGCTTATACTAAAATTAAACTGACTTTGGGAGGCATTTGAATGTTACAGAAAATTAATGAAAATTATTGGTGAGTGTTTTGCTTCTAACCCCCCCCCTTTTCCTGCATGTTTCTAATATTGATTCATATGCACAAATTTAACAAATTTGATACGACTTACGAGGAGTAACAATATTTTTGCACATCCCTAGTATGCACACAACAGATATATGTTATTGCCAATTGAACAGTTCTAAAATAGATAACAGGTTTTTAAGTTCCAGTTTCTTATTCTTTGTAGATATCAAATCCATTTGAATTCAATGTTCTTAAATATTTCAGGGTTGTGTTGACTTCTATGGAGAACCACATAATAAGCACAAACTTCAACACACAATGCTGTCCTAGTATACTCCCTCTGGTGGCTATTCCAAGACAGGCATCCAAAATCTCATAGTTCCAGATGGAATTTCATTTCTCAAATGGCACTGTTTGTATTTCACAGGTGCATGGGAGGTTGGATTAGGTGGTCAGGTTTGCTAAACAATGCAAAAGGGAATGTTATCGTTCAGCAATCACATGAAATCAGTTTACAAATTATTCAGAAGAAGGACTCTAGCTTGTAAAGCTCTCCATGGAGGGGGGAACTCTAATAAACCACAAAATCTCCAATGCATGTAGCAAACGTTCATGTAAGAAATATTGATCATAACCCTTTTCCAGCTGTATCAGTTTCTAAATGCAAGTACATATCTTTAGAAAAGAGAACAACATTCAAATATATTGTGCATGTAACTCCATTAGCCATATGAAGTTGTGTAGTTCAGCATTCTTGCACTTTATTGTATATGATAGTAATATTGCCCCTTAATTTGAAAGTATCTGAATGACCAGCCATCTTTGAAGGTGTCTTAGAACTTCATTGTGAGACCCTTTGTATGATGCCTTTACCATCTGGAGATATAATCAGTAGCTTAGAGGGTAAGTTCCATGTTGGTGCCCTGACGTTGGAAATATCTTCTCCAAGAAGTTTGCCTGGTATGTACTATTATGGCTTTTTAACATTCCTCCTGTGTGTTTTAAATATTTTTGAAGACATGTTTTAGTCTTGGGGAATTGGCTTTACAAATCCTGCATGCTCTCCAAAATGATGCATGTGCCAGGCCCACTCCCCAGTTTCTGCTGCTCAGTACTGTACTATACGATCAGGAAAATGACAGCAACTTTATATTTTTAGTTTAATTATATATTTTGTGTCTAATGCTTATAGTTTGGCCATACCTTAATACCAGCATTTCTCAGAGTTTCCAGAGTTGGTCTGACATCTGCTTGCAGTTGATCTTCCACTCCAGTTAGACAGAGCAGCTCCATCTCCATCTCAAGGCTTTCTATCACAGTGGCAACCTTCAATGAACGGTCATGAACACTCAACTTTGCTTGGATGTAGCGAGCCTATCAGAAACACAACCAATGAGTACCCATTATGCACTAGGTTAGTCCCAGGTGTGGGCAAAGTGTGGTTACATGCATTTACAAGGTTGCTTTTGCACTCATGTCAATTGTGGCTAAAGACTGCTCAACCATACATCCCACCTCTAGATGTAACAATTTGAGGAGCAAGGAGCATATGTCTAGAGGGTGCTCAGAGGCTTCTGGAGAATAATATCATGCCTGTGCTGTTTCCAAGGTCTGGTGGGCAGCAGAGGGGGTCAGGCCAGATATTGCTGACCCTTGATTTATGCAGATGTAAACTACATGGTGGCACAGTGGGCTAAAGCTGCTGAAGCTACTGAACCTGCTGACCAAAAGGTCGGTGGTTTGAGTCCAGGGAGCGAGGTGAGCTCCTGCTGTTAAGCCCAGCTTCTGCCAACCTAGCAGTTTGAAAACATGCAAATGTGAGGAGATCATTAGGTACCACTTCTGCGGGAAGGTAACTGTGCTGCATGCAGTCATGCTGGCCACATGACCTTGGAGGCGTCTACAAACAACGCTGGCTCTTCAGCTTAGAAATGGAGATGCGCACTACCCTCCAGAGTCGGACATGACTAGACTTAATGTCAAGGGGAAACCTTTACCTTTTTAAAACGTATTTTAAAGCTATGCACCTTATTTACCAGCCTATTTTCTAACTTGTTTGCACACCAGCCCCCTGCTCCCATAATGAGACTTGAAGTATATTTCTGGTTGCTGCTTATGATGCTTGTCTTACCATTGTTATAATGTTGTTTTTATGTTGATTTCATATTTTATATGCTATGTTTTTAACTGTACGAGATTGGGCTTGGCCCCACGTAAGCCACCCCGAGTCCCTTCGGGGAGATGGGGTGGGGTATAAAAATAATGTTGTTGTTGTTGTTGTTGTTGTTGTTATTATTATTATTATTATTTGAAACACAACAAGATGAATCCACAACAGACAAGATCACTCTGCTGGCTGTTGTATTGGATCACACGTCAGACACTTCCCAAGTGTCTAGAACTGTGTGATGTAATGGCAATTAATGCATGCAGATCCCAGTAAGCTGGCCTTCTGCAGCTGGCAGATGGTAATTTTGTCAGCGTCAATTGTGTTTAAGTGCAGACCAAAGTCTCTAGGCACTACACCCAGTGTGCCAATCACCACTGGGACCACCTTTATTGGCTTGTGCCAGAGTCTTTACAGTTCGATCTTTAAATCCTCATATCGTGCCAGCTTTTCCAGTTGTTGTTGTTATTGTTGTTGCTATTATTTTTATTATTAGTATAAACTACATGGAGAAGAAGGAGTCTGAACTCTCTTAAGGATATTAGCCATTCACAGGATGAATGAGACAATTCAGAAGTGGGGAACCAAATTAATCCCCTTTCTCTGAAGTACACACTTGCCACTGCCAACATCGGTGGCTTAAATCTCCCAGCTATGATGCTAACAGGCCCAGGAGCAAAAGAAACATTTCAGGAAACATATGGAGAGGGCAACCCATGTGTTTTTAGCTGCTTCCCCTCCCTCCTGAAACCAGATGTGAAGAAAAAAAAGGCTAGGCTTATGTTATAAGAGTCTTTATCTACTGGAAGAATATGGGGAAATGGTGAGCCAATTGGCTATCATCCACAGGCTTTATGTGGGTCATGAGCTGCCAGCTGGCTGCCACTACTGGAGACTAAGAGCACATCCAGACCAGCATAGTAGTCATAACTCATTTTTATTTCAGCTCTGTCCTTCACTGCCCTGGAATAGGTTATACAGCATCATCAATACAGGTTCAGTTTTTAACATTATGCTGCCTGAGGCAAAGTATAATCTGCCACTCCCTTCCTTTTCCAGGAAGAAACTGTTAGTTGAAACTTGCTTCAAGAATAGCGATGTGTTATCCTTTGTGGTATCTGAGGCAACCAGGTAATTTAGGGCAGTTCTCTTTTGCAGCCACTGTCAGGAGCAGCCCCACACAGAGGACATTATAGTAATCCAGATTGAAAATTACGAACATATGACGGAGTAATAACTATTCTCCATAAAGGAAGGGCAAAGTGAAATAGTTCCCTTGAGCCCTACATAATCTTTATTAGTAAAGGTAAAGGTTTTCCTTTGACATTAAGTTAAGTCGTGTCTGATTCTGAGGGTTGGTGCCCATCTCCATTTCTAAGCCAAAGAGCCAGCATTGTCCGTAGACGCCTCCAAGGTCATGTGGCTGGCATGATTGCATGGAGTGCCATTAACTTCCTGCCTAAGTGGTACCTATTGATCTACTCACATTTGCATGTTTTTGAAATGCTAGATTGACAGAAGCTGGAGCTAACAGTGGGAGCTCACCAAGCTCACCAAATTCGAACCACTGACCTTTTGGTAGGCAAGTTCAGCAGCTCAGCAGTTTAACCCGTTGCACCACCAGGGGCTCCATAATCTATAATCTATATTACTTACCTCGAAATCTTGATATTGCTCCTCAGATAGGGATTTCTTTGCTACAACAAGGACCCTTAATCCTTCCCGTGCCATATTACCACACTGCAAAGGAGAAAAGGATAGCAATTATGATCAGTTACATTTTATTACATTACAGTGAAGTCAGAGATTGGGCATTATCCATAAAAGAAGAAGAAGAAAAGAAACTTAATTGTTCCCTTTTGATTCTATCAATTACGTGGGAGAGATTTACATTTCATAAACTGTTTTACTATGTCCTAATATTGTTAGTAAAACTAATACTGATGGAACCTGTTGTCTAAGAAATGGTTCTTATCATTAAGTTGTAACCATAGTTGTGACCCCCATTGGCAATGATTACAAATTTATTTATTTATTTATTTCACGCATTTCTACCCTGCCCTTCTCAACCCCAGAGGGGGGACTCAGGGCGGCTTACAAAAGGCACAATTCGATGCCAACATAAACATAACAATGGATAAAACAAGTAAACAGCAATTATAACAATTAAGACAGACAGTCCATACATTAAAATCAATAAAAACAATCTAATGCTCAGCGTTCTTTATCTACTGGAAGATTTATGTGTGGCCTGAACAGATAAACCCTGTCAATTTTGATTTCTCCCACAAGCATTTTTTTCCAAATAATTATTCGCATCTTAAATATTTAAGAAAAGAATAAAATGGAGTACATTATTGTCAAAAATAATCTAAATTCTCATTCATTCTAAAGCATTCCCTGGACTAAGACCTTTTGGCTATCAACCTCTCATGCTTAAAAATAAAATCAGAGATGTTGTTTGCTCCATACCTCTTCCTCAAGCCAGTCATTGTACTGAACAATACCAGCCATCACGACATCAGCTCCTTTCATGTAGAATGTTATTTCCCCTGTAGATTCATCCTAAAAGACAGTGGAGGTTGGGGAGCAGAAAGAAATGCTTTAGCTTTATATTCAAGAAGTGCCAATGAAGTAGTTGTGCTCCTGGAGATAACTTCCTTAAATATGATAATATAGGCAAGAAAAATACATGGAAGGAACAGGAAGAGTTGACTTATATCAAAAAAAAAGAAAAAGATCCAGTATTCCCCCACGTATTGCGGCGGATCCATTCCAAGACCACCCGCAATAAGTGAAAATCCACGAAGTGGAGACATCATATTAATTTTAATATTTATACATTATTTTATATATTTTGTATATTATTTTCTTACCCATGCTTCCTTACTTGCCTCCCAGCCCATCCCAAGGGTGCCTGCCTGCCTCCGCGGCCTCCATAGAGCCTCCGGAGCCACGCAGGTAGCAGCAGGCCAGGGAGGAAGGCCTTCCCCGCCATGCCTCAGGCTGTTGCACTTCTGGGGTCCCTGGCCTCCACTGGATGTACATATTTAATATTTTTTATTAATATTTTCAAAAACCCGTGAAACAGCGAGTCCGCTAAAAGCGAACCGCAAAGTAGCAAGGGAACACTGTATCCAACTTATTAAAGCAAACTTTTAATCCAAAACCATATGCACATGTGAGATGAAACTTTTTTGTAACCTACCTCAAGCCTTGGGGAGAGACAGGTAAGAAATAAAATGTATCATCATTATCATCACTACTACAACATAGTAATAATAGTAATAAATTTGGGGACCTCGTTTTGTTGTTAATTGTCTTGACTGAGTATATCCATCTGCAATGTGGTCTTCCTATTTACATATTACTATCTACTTTCCAAAACACTATAAACTTTCTAATGAATCATGTTATCTCAAATGTTCAAAGTACAATTGTCTCAGTTTAGTTAACTCTCAATTAGTTAGATACTCTTGATATTTTCCTTCCATTTATGAAAGCATTTAAGAGGTTCTATCACCTCAGGATCATAGGCGCTGGAATATTAGTTGGTAGGATCTGGAATAAATCATTGAATCTAGACAGTAATTACATTTCAAAGGCAGAAACATTACTAAGCCAAGAAACTCAAATTTTAGATCATTTTATCTTTTATTTCCTTAATGAGAAGATCAAAGTTAAGTGGAACCATTTGGTTTAATTTGTTTGGTATTTGTACTCCCAAGTACTTAATTGATGATTTAGAGATGGCTATTTCTTCGAGTTTCTTTTTCTTTTCACTTGGCATCATATTCAAACGAAGTTTTAATTTAGTTTCATTTCTTTTCTTTGTAGAAATCCTCCCAAAACTTGAAATATATTGATTACTTTTGGGATTCCCTTCAAAGATGCAGCAGAAGTGATTGCAAAATCACCAATGAAAAGCTTCAGCAAACACCTGTCTTTCTGAATTTGAACCCCCCAAATCTCACTATTCTGCCTGAATGTGTAACTTTGAATGCACACATGCTGCTTGGAAAAAAAAAATGGGACAAAAACTGCTTCTGTAGGGGATCTTACACACATGTACAACAGCGAAAGGGTTCCAGCTCATAAGTGGACATCCAGCTACTTCAGCACTTGGCATGGTTCACTTGGGTTTCAGTGGTGAAAATTAAGCTCCCAGCTGTACTAAAGTTGCTCACAAAATATTACACATCTGAGAAACACTGCAGTGGAGTGTTTTGAGTGTGTTGTTTTGAGGCTTTCATGGCCGGAATCACTGGGTTGCTGTGAGTTTTCTGGGCTGTATGACCATGTTCCAGAAGCATTCTCTCCTGAAGTTTTCCCCACATTTATGGCAGGCATCCTCATAGATTGTGAAGTCTGTTGGAAACTAGCCAAGTGTGAATATTGCAATTGGCCACCTTGATCAGCACCGAATGGCCTTGCAGCTTCAAAGCTTGACTGCTTCCTGCCTGAGGGAATCCTTTGTTGGGAGGTGTTAGCTGGCCCTGATTGGAGGAAACCATGAAAATGAACAAAATCTGGCTACCAGTATTTAAAAAATCTAAAATCAGGACAGTAAATAAAGAACAACACTGAGAAAACAGGGGAAATCCAGACAGGAAACATTCACACTTACCTCCAACAGACAAGAGTTTTTTCTTCTTTTTGGTTTTGAGTAATGCCTATTGATGCCTTACTACTTAAGAGATGAAAGTATAAGTTACTCAGCTCTTAAAGTCTGTGCTCCATGGGTTCTTGTTATAATTAGTAAGGCACTGCTGTCAGTACTGTTTCTTGTTGGTAAGGAGGTAGTTGTTTGTTGAACCACAAAAAGTTTCCATTCTCTCTCTTTCTGAGCAATTGGAATGGAATATGTTTTCTCTGCAGCTCGCAGAGTGCTATTGTTGTGCATCAAGTGGGAAGAAGGAGGCCTTTGAACCTTGGCCAAAATCAGACCATGATGGAAAAAGATGTGGTTGAGAACAATACAACTGGCAAATCTTTCTGCAGATTTATAGTTGTAATTGTGCCATAACATGGGAACGTGCTAACCTCCTACTGAACTTGGTGAGAGGAAATGACTAATGCAAGGAGATAGTTGATATAGTATTTATATTGGACAAAAGATCTAAACTATCTTTAAGCTAGTTCTACACCACAGGAAGCGCAGTCTCTCTTCAGCTTCCTACCAAAACGTTGTTAAAATGTTTCTTAACAGTTTAAACCATTTAGAGCACAAACATTTATCTTAACTGATGCCAGGTACCTTTTGAAGGTTTTTTCCCCCCCTGGCTTCTGTTGCTAATCTCTCATTTGACATTAAAAGTTCACATTAACAATACAGACAATTGACCTGATACCAAAATAGAGCAAAGCACACAGATGAACAGCAATGTATCATTCAGCAGGTCCATAAAAACTTGGACCACAATCTAATAAGGTGTAAAGCAAGTATGAACTAGACATGTTTAATACTGCCTTGGCCTGTGGTCTGAAGACTCTCATGGCTACACACAAGTTCGTAAATTAAGTTCAGACCAGAAGAAGGAGAAGGAGAAGGTGGGGTTTTTTTTAAAGAAAGAAATGGAGGAGTTCAAATTCAAATTGATTCTTGATTGGTCTAAGGCTGGCAGACTTGGATTAAGAATGTGTCCAGTTCAGCTTGTTTTCTCTTTGCTTGAATTGAGATGCACTCAGTGCTTGATTTCAGGTTGGTGCCTCTGAAGACATCTCTATATATTAGAAATCAGAGTAGAACAGTTGGAGAAAGGGCTCCTGAGGTCACAAGCAATGAGTCAGATCGAGATGCCTTGCAGGCTAGATCGTTCTCACCTCAATGCATAAATGTTGGGTTAATGGACTTAATACTCCCTTGCAAACTGTAACCCCCTTTGAAAACCAGCTGGTCAGAAGGAGAAACATTTCAAACTGTAGAAGGAGAGTATTCTTGCAAAACGTTCTGGTCTGATACTTCCCAAGTCAAGGAAGAAACCTGACGTAGCTCAGGTAAAAGATTGAGCACCAGGTCCTACTCAGTAAATGCCTACTGAAGAGATAGAAGAGCCTGCACATTGAAGTTTTGGGGCTGTAATTTCTATAGTCCACCATCCAGCATGGCTACAATCCAGCATGGGTGATTTCAGCCCCCAAATAAACATTTCCAAGACCTCTCACTTTCTTGGTGGAATGTAGATCCTGCTCAAAGGCCCTTTGTCTGCCAACCCCCGAAGTAAAACACGAGAATAAAAGACACAACAACAATGCTTGGATTCAAATTGGGCAACTTTTATTTAACGTTACCTATTTAAGTTCTTAACCTAACTCAAGGGTGCAAGGAACTGGTGTAACCTAACCCAGGTAGTATCACTACCCGATAACAACAATTTCCGGGCGAAGCACCTGGGTTTTCCGGTAACCAAACCGGATCACCATCGAGGGAAATGAATGAGGAGTCTCTTCCAAAGCTCTTGCATCCGGACTCCTTCCATTTCAGGCCATTTCAACTACACTTCACCCTTTAAACTGTAGGTGAGTGTGCAACTTAACGGCCTTTCACCCCTTAAAGGGGTGCCCTAGGTGCACACCGACTAAAGGAATTTCCCTATCTATTTACGCCTGGCCTACTTAATGCGTAGCCCACTTCCTCTATCTAGCCCCTAAACAGTATAGGGTAGGCAAAAAACCCCCCCTATGAAACAAGAAGAGGAAAAAATTCCTACCCGGTTCCGCAGGCAACCGCAAGATATACTGTTAATGGGCGGGAGTGGTGGGCCGACTTCCAGGCACGGAATGAGCCTGGGAGGGCCTGGCCTGTGCTAGCAGGCCACGCCCCCAGATATTCTGGAGAGTTCCACCAGAACTCCTCCCTGCCTCGTGGGAGGCAGACAAATGTTTTTTCTCTCCCCATTTTATGGGGAGAGGAAAACTATTGCATAGACCATACTTTACACCATTGTAGGTTAAGTATAATTTATAGAATTCACATGTACAATAGAAGTGAGGAATCTGTGCCTTCCAGATGGTGTTAAATGAGATCTCCTATTATAGTTGACTATTTGTCATTTTGCTGGGGCAGATGGGAGTTTGAGTCTAGCAATGTATAGAAGGGCACAACTGCCCCCCCCCCCCAAGATCAACTTTGTAATTCGGGTTCCTGACATCTATATATTGAATGGCTTCTTCTTATTTGAGCATTATTGTGATCAAATTGCTGATGAAATAATACTTCTTAATTTGTGATCATATTAGTTATCATGCCATAGGCCTAGCTGCAATCATGCCATACCTTTTTTTTTTCATCATTCAGCATACTGATAAAAGGCAGCAAACATCAAATGAATCTGCTGTAGAAGGAAGAGGTAAAGTCTTAGGAGGTCCTAAGACTTCATCTCTCCATTTTACACGAGTATTATATTAGTATTTAAGCAAAGTCTTAGATACCAAATAGCATTGCCAAATAGCCTGTCTTGTGTGCTTCTTAATGAATAGTCCTCAGTTAGTATTCCTCAGTCTAGGAGATTACTAAAGAGCTGTCCTCTCAGGTTAAAAACTGGACAGGGGTTGTCAAAAATGTGTGGTTTTCCCACCTTTGCAATGGCCTTGCATCCCTGATCCCAGTGAATATGGAGAATGAACTGGACAAGACTGTTAATTGGTTACTATACTATCAAACTGCTAGTCAGTTTTTGATGTTTGTACACACACATACACATAAGACAAAAATTCAAGATTTCCCATTTTGATCTAAAATGGTCCATTTTGATTTGATCTGAAAGTAGGACCATATTCTTCTTTTATAGTACAGTTTGTGATATATCTATTAAAATATTAGTTCCATTAAGTGTGATGAAAATTATTTCCAGCTGAGTCAGTATGAAGGAAGTATTAATGGTGTTTGCCTGTGCAAGTGTGCTTAAAAGCAAAAAGTGAGTTAGGCATTGTTTTCTGTTAGGCAGTAAAATGATTGTAATGAAGAAAGAGGAGTGTGTCTTTTCTGAGCAGAATGGTGGGAATCTTACACAACCCTGGAACTTCATCCAGTATCACCTGTTATAATATAAAGCTGATTCTTATAAATAGAAGATGAGATGGGCAACTCATCTCCAAAGTAATTTTTCCATATTGTAGTTATTTCCCTTGTTTCCCCCAAGGAGATGAAGGCAACATAGATTATCCTTTCCTCCCACCTTTTTTTATCATCACAACAACCCTCTAAAGTAGATTTATTTTCATGTTAGGAGCAACTTGAGAAACTGCAAGTTGCTTTTGGTGTGAGATAATTGGCCATCTGCAAGGACGTTGCCCAGAGGATGCCTGGATGATTTAATGTTTTAGCATCCTTGTGGGAGGCTTCGCTCATGTCCTCACATGGGGACCTGGAGCCGACAGAGGGAGCTCAACCTGCCTTCCTTGGATTTGAACCACTGACCTGTTGGTCAGCAGTCCTGCCGGCACAAGGGTTTAACCCATTATGCCACTGGGTTCTCCTTCTAAAGTAGATGAGGCTACAAAAGAATATGATATGAATATGAATACCACTGAGGATTTGAGTCTCCCTCTACATTTCTAGTGATACACATTCAATTCTTTCAGAAGCTATGATTATTTTATACTACGTATCTTTCAGATGCTATGATCATTTTATACTTAAAGCAAGGCCATTTATCAGTAATTTCTAAAATTAATGAAGAACTGCACACATGCAGACAGAGAAACTCCATATGAATAGTTTCATTCACTAAGTCCAAAGATATCTTTTCAAATGTAGATGACCTAATTTCCATATCAATATAAGAGACCCATCAAGTTATCAACTTTCCACACAAGAGGGAAAATAATAATCACAAAGAAGCCACCCCCAGTCTGGTTTCCCCGCACCCCATAGGTTGGACTACATCTCCCATCACTGTCTGCCAACATGTCTGACTGTATCATATTGACTGGCTACAAAAATTAGCAGAATCCATAAAACAACGTCAGTGCAGACATCCCAGGCCAACTGTTAGCTGACCTTGCACTGTGTTGTAGAGTGCTTGACCTTTCTGAAACATTGAATTAAAAAGGAAATGTAACTGCCAATTTGATCTTGTAGTTATGTGGATAACAAATTTGCACCTTGAAAAAACTTCCAGCTGTTTAAGAATGTTTGCATGCATGTATTTTCAAGTCACTTATGGTGACTCTAGGGTTTTTTTAGGCAGGAAGCTCAGACTACAAAGCTCTTAGGCAAGAAACTCAGAGATGGTTTTGTCAATTCCTTCCACTGGACCACACACATATGTTATTCGTTCATGGTCTCCCATCCAAATTCTAACCAGAGCTGAGGCACTGCTTAGCTTCCAAGATCAGTGCCTTTATGGTATAGCATTTAGAGTTTTAAGAATAATCACAGTGAAATGACTTTCCATGTGAATATTTTAATGTTTCGAAGTGGGTTTGAAAGTATGCAGGAATGAGCTCACGACTGGTTCCCAGTCTCCAAATTAACTCTAATAATATATGGTTTTGCACAAGACTTCAGTTGATGGGTCTCAATTATATTAATTATATAATTTTAAACAGAAAATCAATTAACTATATGGTGCAAAAATGAAAAATGAAAAAACAAGAATCTTCATGATAGCCTGTGCAGTTTGTTGTTGTTTAGGTTTTATTTGATCAGACACTTGTAATGTATTCTAATTTATTATTCAGACAGTTTTAGTTTGCTATTTGTAATTTGTGATCCATTTGTAGTATGTGATATTTGTAATTTGTGGTTTTGATCTCTCTTCTTAAAAGGACAGCTGCCCTGATCGACTATAAAGAAGAGCTGGACATAAAACAAATGAAGAAGTGAACAAACGTGAGCACTGATTGCTGTTGTGCAATTTAGTACAACTTACCCGAACAATGATTCCCATCCGTTTACTTTCGTAGGTGAACGGAAATATCTGGAGGATGGTGTAATTTAGGATGTGGCCACCAGGGGTCCTCAGCTGCACAGAAGACTGGTCCCGGCCAACCAACGTTAAGCCTACGCTTTCGGTCCACTGTACCAGGGCCACCTAAACACAAGAAAGGTCAGAGGTCAGATAGACTGCTGAGATCAGCGGTTCAGAGGTCATGCAAATGGAACAGCACAAGGAAGGGGGAAGGGAAATGCGGGAAGCAAAGAACAAAATTACTCAAGTTGTTAACAGTACATTTCCTCCACTGGATTCATTCCCCTAAATGTTCTTATGCCATGATAGCGCCTGCGTTTCTTTAGCGGCACAGTGGGGCGGATCCTGGTTGTATTTCTGGGAAACCAGCAAATAAATACAATATCCAAAATATTTTACTTGAAATTTAAAGACATTGTGAGAGAACAAAACATTTAGCGAACTAGGAGTGGAGAAATCCTTTCAAGCAGAAAAACAGGATTGATTTTCAGAGGAGGAGGTCTTCCCTTCAAGTATAAAATGGATCATGCATGTGTTTTTCTTCTTCTTTCACGGTTTTTAAAGTCTCACCTTTTTTTGCAGTGCCAGACTGATATCAGATATTTATTCTAAAGAGCATATAACACAGTTCCTGCAGGAACACTGGCTTCCAAATTTGCTTCCAAGTTGAAGGTGCTGACCTTACAACCCCGCAAACAGCTTGGGGACAGGATACCCCAAAGTCCACGCCCTCCCATATGAACTTGTTAGAACTGTGTGATGTTAATGTTAATATTAATATGTTTTTAATTCCATGTTTTAATGTTTAATGATGTCATGCTTTATGATTTAATTAACAATTCATAGAATCATAGAATCAAAGAGTTGGAAGAGACCTCATGGGCCATCCAGTCCAACCCCATTCAGCCAAGAAGCAGGAATATTGCATTCAAATCACCCCTGACAGATGGCCATCCAGCCTCTGTGTTTAAAAGCTTCCAAAGAAGGAGCCTCCACCACACTCCGGGGCAGAGAGTTCCACTGCTGAACGGCTCTCACAGTCAGGAAGTTCTTCCTCATGTTCAGATGGAATCTCCTCTCTTGTAGTTTGAAGCCATTGTTCCGCGTCCTAGTCTCCGGAAGCAGAAAACAAGCTTGCTCCCTCCTCCCTGTGGCTTCCTATCACATATTTATACATGGCTATCATATCTCCTCTCAGCCTTCTCTTCTTCAGGCTAAACATGCCCAGCTCCTTAAGCCGCTCCTCATAGGGCTTGTTCTCCAGACCCTTGATCATTTTAGTCGCCCTCCTCTGGACACATTCCAGCTTGTCAATGATGAGGACCAATGTCATAGAATATAGAATCATAGAGTTGGAAGAGACCTCATGGGCCATCCAGTCCAACCCCCTGCCAAGAAGCAGGAAAATTGCATTCAAAGCACCCCGACAGATGGCCACCCAGCCTCTGTTTAAAAGCCTACAAAGAAGAAGCTTCTACCACACTCTGGGTGTTAGATTTCTGTATGTGAGGCATTAAATTTTGCCATAATTGTGTTGGAAACCACTTTGAACCCACCACTGGGATGAGAAAAGCAGTACAGTGTTCCTTCGCTACTTTGCGGTTTGCTTTTAGCGAACTCGCTGTTTTGCAGGTTTTTCAAAATATTAATAAAAATATTAAATATTTATATCCAGTGGAGGCCAGGATCCCTGAAAATGCGGAGGCGTGAGGCATGGCGGGAAAGGCCTGCCTCCCTGGCCTGCTGCTGTCTGTGTGGCTCCAGAGGCTTTGCAGAGGCCAGGGAGGCAGGCAGGCACCCTTGTGATGGTCCGGGAGTTGGGTAAGGAAGCGTGGGTAAGAAAATAATATATAAAATATATAAAATAATGTATAAATATCAAAATTAATATGGCATCCCTACGTCACGGATTTTCACTTATCGCGAGTGGTCCTGGAACGGAACCCCCGCGATAAGTGAGGGAACACTGTATACAAGTGAAGTAAATAAATAAATAGAAAATTTAGATATTTAGAGGAGACCTTGCTGCATGTTCCTTTCTACATGTAGAAGATGTGTTGGTGGGTACACTTCACAGAGCTCTCTGTAAGACTGACTCAAGTGTGGAACTCCCTTCCCAAGGAAGTTAGGCTGGAGCCATCTCTTTTAAGCCTCCAGTATGCAGCCAAAACTCTGCTATTCCACATGACATTCACTGCTTGAAACTGCTTAACTATTTGAAAACTGGATTGTTTTTAGATCACTTTTATGAGTTTTTAAAAGGCATTATTAATGTGTTTTTAAAACTTTTCTATCTTTGTGTTGTTTTCAATTGCTTTTGTTTGTTCATCACCTCAGGAGCCCTTGTGATATTTTGTTGTTTTAAATGCTAAACAACTTACATGATTTTCTTTTTATGCCATTCAGAAGTTCTTTGATATAGGACAGGATTTATTTTAAAAAGCACAGAATGAAACAAAATACACAAAGATCCATTTGGAGAGCGAGTTTGCTATTTCTTTCATGACCTTGGACACGGCTGGGTGATTCTAAGGGTGATTTATAGGAGTTTTTTATTTATTTGAGAAAGGTGGTAACTTGCTACCTATATATTTGCCTTCACATTTAGGAGCTGTATCTGTTATAGAAACATTCTCTGGAAACTTTACTGCTCTAATTCCCCTCTGGGGTTGAGATACAGCGGGGTAAAAAATATGCAGTAAATAAATTTACAGTATTAATTTCTTTATTCCTGTCAAAGGCAATGAGAGCTAAGAATAGTGATTATAAGAATAGGATGTGTGCCAAAAAAGAGGCTTTTTTCAAATCCATATGTTTGAATGGCCTTTGGCATGCTCATGCCCCCAACTTACTCAGATTTGGCAGGGACAGTTCTAATTAATCCTCTTTCATCCCACTTTTATAGCTGCTTTCAAAATGACCCAGTTTCTTTTGCTCCTCTCACTTTCTCCCTTGTCCTCAGCTTACCCCGTTTCCTGTAAATTCAATTCAAAATGCAAAAGTGCACTCAGTTCAATTCAACAAGGGGAAAGAGGAGATGAGGGAATCTAATTCGAGCTTGTATGCTTTTCCTATTTAATTGGTTTTGATGGTATTCTGATGCTGCTTGGCTAAACTTGTCCTTATTTTCATCTCTGAAATGTAGAAGGATATGCAGGCGATCTTCTCTAAATTCCCAAATAGAAATATAGGTATAATACTGGCTATGATTATAAAAGGAACACCCAGTGGCACAGTGTGTTAAATCGCTGAACTGCTGAACTTGCTCACTGAAAGGTTGGCAGTTCAAATCGGGGAAGTGGAGTGAGCTCCCACTGTTAGCCCCAGCTTCTGCCAACTTAGTAGTTAAAAACATGCTAACATGAGTAGATCAATAGGTACCACTCTGGTGGGAAGGTAACGGCACTCCATACAGTCATGCTGGCCGTATGACCTTGGAGGTGTCTACAGACAACTCCAGCTTTTCGGCTTAGAAATGGAGATGAGCACCATCCCCCAGAGTTGGACGTGACTAGACTTAATGTCAAGGGGAAACCTTTACCTTTATCTATGGTTATAGGATACATTGGGCCAATCTATGAAAACTGAAAAATGTTCAAACCACTCCAAAGAAATAAGCTATCATTTCTAATTGCATTTAATTACCTAGATGGGAACATGTTGCATTTAATTACCTAGATGGGAACAAAAAATGATGTTTTGAATTCTAACCAGAAAATAAAGGTTAAACACAGCTTTCGAAGGCATTCAGTATGGAATGACAAAAAAAATGTAGTGTTGTTTTTGAAAAATGACACTAGTTTAGGAGCTAGCACTTCCAAGTAGTGGTCTATACAATGTATGTATTTGTAAACAGATGGCATCTTCTTAAATATCTGTTCCAAAATATCTAATTGGGAAGCAAAGGGCACAAGACAAAATGGTTGCAACATTCCACACATTTTCGACAAATGCTTCACCAACTTCCTAGCTCATCTATTTAAACATTTGCTCCTTCTGCTCATTAAACAGCATCAAGCTTTGTGGTGAGGAGGCGGGGAGGCTGTGGATTAACACTACTTCAGGGAGAGGCAGAAAGATGATCTGTGCTTGTTATCAACCTGACACTCCACTACCTCAGTCGGGTCACATGGCCAACGTGGACACTGCTAGCAACACATTTGATGAGTACATCCTTTCACATCCTGGGAAGCCTGGAAGTGTTATCAGGGTGAAAGGCCAGTTTTCCAAAGAATCCTCCAGGGCAAGTTATCTCTGATCAGATTCTACCTATTACATTTCCCCTCTGTTACTGTATGGCCTCAACTTGACGGGCTCACAGAGCCCCAGAGGCGGTAACTGATCTCTCAATAAAGATGCTTTTCAGGAGCTTGTGCCCAGGAATGCACACAGGAAACAAATCTAGGAAATCCTGCTTTGTGTTTCAGGAAATGAATCCTATGCCAACTGGTAGAAATTACCACTGCTCTTCAGGAGTGAAGAATTAAGGAGAAGGAGGGGGAAGGAATACCTCTGAAGTTCTAGGGCTGATTTCAGCATAAACTGACCTTTTTGACTTAACAATATTTTATTGCTATAGAATTTCAAAGGTTGAGGATGGAGGTTTAAGGGGGAGGATTTTCATAGAGGCCCTGCAGAGGACAGTTGCTAAACAGCTTCTCTTCCACTTGAAGAGATCAGTAAGCACCCAGCTTCTCTTATTGCAAACATGAGACAATGAATGGATTCAAACTACAGGAAAACAGATTACAAAGAATATAGTGATGACAGGAACAGTGGAATATAGTGCCTTGGAGTATGGTGGAGTCTCCTGTGGAGGTTTTTAAACAGAGGCTGGAAGACCATCTGTCAGGAGTGCTTTGACTGTGCATTCTGCATGGAAGGGGGTTGGACTGGATGGCCCTTGTAGTCTTCTCCAACTTTTATATGATTCTATGAATACATTTCATTTTTTTAAACTCAGATCCAGTGTAGTGGTTTAAACAACTAAATACAACTCTGGAGATTAGAGTCCAAATCCCAGCTCAATGATGGAACCCACTAGATGGCTTTGGGCAAGTCATACTCTCAGTCTCAGGGGAAGGTAATGGCAAATGTCTGAAAAATGTTGCAAAATAAATCCCATGATTACCTTAGAGTTGGCATAAGTTGAAAATGACTTTAAGGGAAGCAACAACACTGAATATATTTGAGGAATCAAGTAGACTCTTATCACATGTCTTTAAATTTGCAGCTTGAAAGTTCTCTTCTCATGGATTCATTGATGAGCCTTGAACCACAGCTTTCAGCAGTTGCTAGGGGGACTTTTGCACAATTAAAACATGTGCCAGTTGCACCCATACCTTGGGAAGTCAGACTTGAGCATGGTAGTCCATGCTCTGGTTACACCCCGAATAGACTACTGCAACACACTCTATGTGGGGTTGCCTTTGAAGACTGTTTGGAAGCTCCAAGTGGTCCAACAGGTGGCAACCAGATTGTTTACCGGAGTGGGGTACAGGGGGCATGCAACCCACCCCCCCCATTACACCAGCACCACTAGCTGCCAGTCCATCAGCACCACTAGCTGCCAATGTTAATTCAGATCTCTATCCAAACCCAGTGCAGTTTTGTCTGGCCTACACTGATTTTACTGGTTTCACTTGTGCCTTTCAGATGTTGCTGGACTGGATTTTCCAAAATGCCTCATTATTTACAATGGCTGATGGGGGTTGCAATCCAACATAATCTGAAAGACCACAGGTTTCATATCCTACCAAACACAATTCAAAGTGCTGGCTTTAGCCTATAAATCCCTAAATGGTTCTGGCCCATCTTACCTGTCTGAACATATCTCCCTCTATGAACCATCTTGGAGGTTAAGATTGCCTGGGGAGGCCCTGTTCCCGGTCCCACCTCCTTCGCAAGCGCAATTAGTGGGGACGAGAGACAGGGTCTTCTCATCTGTGTAACTCCCTCCCCAGTGAGATCAGCCCTTTCTCTCCTGACATTCAGGAAAAATCTTAAGATGTGGTTATGTGACCAAGCTTTTGACTCAGTACAATAAGCGACCAAGAATCATTGTGATTAATAAATGGAACAGCCCTGGATTATATTTTGGATGGTGTGATTTTAATTGATTTTTTAATAATTCAGGTACTAATTGTTTGGTTTTCAATTGTAATTGTTTATTTGATACTTGTATGTATGGCATGAAATTGTCTGTTGTAAGAAAGCCAGGTTATAATTATGGTAAATAAATAAATATAAATGAATTAAGATTCTAGAATATTTTATCTATTTTTAATTGACAGTGGTGTTTTTTCTTTTATTTTTCTTTATTTTTCTTTAAAAAATGACCCTCACAATTGGTGCACATAATGGGTTTGAGCATTGGACTATGAATATGAAGACCAATATTCAAATCCCCACTTAGCCATGAATCTCACTGGGTGCCTTTGGGTAAGTCACACTCTCTCAGCAAAGAGGAAGGCCAAGGAAAACCTTTTTCTGAACAAATCTTGCCAAGGACACAAGTAGAAAACTACTTGAAGGCACATAATGATAACAATAGCAACAGCAGCAACATGATGGTACAATCTAAAAGTTTGATCTTAACACACAACAAAATGGCACTTAAAGAAGTTAACTGTATTTTTATGAAGAAATTTCCTAGTACTGCTGCAAGGTGAAACTTAACAAGCAGGCATGGATCCTTAACCACCCAAATTATCAATATAGTGTGTGTGTGTGGTGGGGAGACAAGCAATAAGAGAAAACCTTTTTTAAAAAATAAATAAATCATGTTTTACCTCATCAGGACTAGCTGCTTGATACACCCTGCAAGAATCTTCATAGTGCCTCTCGGCTTCGGCTTGATCTGTCACACCATTTGATTCATAGACAGGAGTCACATTATGGCAGAGGGCAATTGCTTTCACAGCTTCATGGACACGGCTGCTCAGGGTTTTACGAACTTTGGTAGCCAGAGTTGGGCCTTTTAGAGCAGGTGGTTCATGGGACTGCTAAAAAAAAGACAGTTAAAAAGGAAAATTAACCATGTTAATTAGGAAAGCCCTTGCTTCCATTAATATTCCTTATTTGCAACTGTAAATGGTTATTTTTTTGTTTTACAAGTTATGACAATTTAAAAAAAATGAAGCTTAGTGGTAAAGTATGCTAAATAAATTAAAAATTAGCCCAATGTTTACCACAGCTTCTGGAACCTTCAACTAACCTGCTCTCTCTTGTGCAAGCTTCTGGAAGTTCATACCATTATCAAGCACAGCCTTAGGAGGAATTACTGTAGATTGTAGAACGTAAGGCACGATCCATCAAACTATAAGTTGCTGCTAAATCCTACTGACAGAAAGTTCACTTCTCCCACGGAAATCAATAAGATTTCAGAGTGCTTTAGTAAGTTTGAAACGTGCCTTAATGAATGAATAAAAATGTATGTGTTTCGAAAGAGATTAAATAGTTCAAAATCATGGAATAAATACACAGGTGAGTTGGACTGCAACTTCCTGGGGATATCAATTCAGATCTCTATCCAAACCCAGTGCAGTTTTGTCTAGACTACACTGGTTTTACTGGTTTCACTTGTGCCTTTCAGATGTTGCTGGACTGGATTTTCCAAAATCCCTCATTATTTACAATGGCTGATGGGAGATGCAATCCAACATAATCTGGAAGACCACAGGTTTCATATCCTAGTTTAGAACAATAAAAACTCAATGTCAGGCAAACATTTCTTAAGGATTTGCTACCAGATTAACCTCAGCAATTCCTCTTCCTAAAGAGTTGTAAGATGTTTTACACTCAAATCATTGATCTCCAAAAGAGGTTTATAATTTGGAATGAGCTGTCTTTTATATTCAGAAACACATGATCAGTGAAAAAGAAGAAACAGATGGGCTGACATGGAGGTAGAAAGCGGATCGTTTAATTTTTAATACTATTTTTAGACTCAGCATCTACCCTTCAGGTAATTTTGCAATTACTAAATTATGGTGGTCACAGGGGGAACATATAGCCAACCAGTTTCCTGTTCTTTTAACCTCTTGAGTCAAGAGGACAAAAGTTTCACTTCCAGGTCAAAGGGCATAGAATGGTAACAGTAATTAGAGCAATGAATCAGAACTACAGTTTAAATGAATCATGGCCAGCAAATGCTTCCAATTACCAAAGAATCTAACCTTTTAATTATATTTAAACCTATATACACTGAGAAGCTCTATTTACCAATGCTAAACATAACTTTTCCATTATCGAATAAAAGTTGGGTTTTGATGGAGGCTTGTGTCATGCTCACTGAAAACTTCAGAAGTACTGACAAGTAACAAGAAACTGGCATACAGTTCCAAGCAATGAGTGTCAGCTTGGTGTACTTGCTCATGAACTGAAAATGGGCAAATCCAGGTTACAGCCCACACTAAGTCAGGAAAACCTATTGGGTGTCCTTGGACCAGGCACTTTCTCTCTGCCTGACCTACCTGACAGGGTTGTTGAAGACAGAGTGGACAGTACGAGAGCTGTGTATGCTGCTTTGAGCTTAATGTGGGAAAGGTGGAAAATAAGTGTCACAAACACATAAATAAAGGTGTGTGTAGGTGACCCTCTGTACTCATGGCTGGAGACCCTATCTATTCAAGAGTCCCTTATCACAGAGTCTGCAGAAATTTGGTTTGCACAGGGTTCTTCCAAGGTTGGGGTGAATGCATGAAGCAATCAAAAGAGTCAACAAGACCAGAAGGTGGGGTTCACATTCTTTTCAATGCACATGTATTGCAGAAGTGTGAAGAACTCTATAATCTCCTTCACAGTTAAAAATCCTGCTCATATTTGCATCTTTTTCATCTTATCCTGAGGTATAGAATGAGCATGTAAATACTAATTTGGAGTTCAGTGTATTTTCTTTTGACTCCAAAATGCCTGTATATTGACCAAGGTACTTTCATGGTAGGAGATGCTGGAGATTAAACCCGGAACTAGAGTATGAATTACAACATAATTCCTCCAGTCTAGAAATGAGCAAACAGTGACAAACAACAGCCTAAGGAAGTGCTTTCATTGGGGCAATCACACAGGTAGGGAAGTTAAACCCTCCATTTCTTAATTTTCCTGATTCGTTTTGTGACTGCTGTGTCATCCATGGCGACTTTGTATTGAGAATGAGAAAGTTGTGGCTAAGCATAATACTGGAAAACAAACAGCCCAAAAACAAAGTGAAAGGAAACATGATGCTAATCTAACTGGGGCATTTTCCACTCCAGTCAAATGTCTGATTTTTACTTCTTTGATTAACCCTTTGATTAATCCTCAACCTTTCATTTTCTTGTCCCCATAACGATAACACCACTTCAGAAACTCCCTTTGGTTTCAAAAATTATGCACTGTGTGGCATATAATCCAATGTCTGAGAAAATGCAATCTTCGAGAGACTTGTTCCACCATTATTTGGATTCTGATCACAACTCACAACAATGTACTGAATTTACCTGAGTATATATGCTAAATATATGGCTCTGAACTTCATCCATGGAATCTATTCCATAAGACACTGTTCCAAGATGAAGGCGTTTGAAAACCATTTCATTCTGTGTTAGGGTTCCTACAACAGGAGCAGAGGCAAAAGTCATTATCAAAGAGAGGAAACCATATGGAAGGAAAGGGGTTTTTTTTTTTAAAAAAAAAAATTGACTCATGACCAAGAAAAGAGGCACATGAGACCTAAAGGCTGATGTCAGTTTATTTCTAATAAAAAGTCATAACAGAGAGAGAAACCTCAGCAGACAAACAGATTAACATTGAGATTATGCATCTCTGTTCAGAAGGATGCCTCATTGAATTCCATGGAATTTACTCCCAGACAAAATAGAATCCCACACTAAATTGATTTAACTATAGAAATAAGCTAATCAATAACAATACAATGACATCACTTGGTGAATATATATATCAAATTTCAATTTACAGATTAGCTGGAAGTATTTACACTGCACTTTGATAATTTTTATTTTCCCTAAATAAAAATTATCAAAGACACACACTCAACTTAAAACAAGAGGCACAAAAATACTTCACAAAAAAACCCCCTAAGATAACTAACATCACTACTACTCACCACCACCACCATACCTGTTTTATCTGTAAGCAAATAGGATATTCTTCCGAGTTGTTCTGGGATAGTGCTGGATCGAACTACAGTGCCAGGAATTTTAGAATCCCTCCGGATCATCCAGCTGTAGACTATTTTCCCCATGTCAAGATTTACACGTAAACTGTGTGGAGACATCAGAGGAAACCATTCAGAAACAAAACCTAGACATTATGAATTTGCACACTCCTTTAAAGAAACTGTATTGTGAATTTGTAGGAAAACACACAGTTAACACTGATCTGGTACAAAGAAAAGATTCTGCCACTTTTGGGTTGGAAGATACGTGAGTAGTCTGCCAACTCTTGGTTGGCGAGGCCCTCCCTCCATTCGAAGTGGTATTGCTCTGGCATCTGAAGAACTGAAGAGCAGCAAGAAATAACTCCATGCTGCCTTGGTGCCAATGGCTGGTAACAGGCCCTCCCTCCAGACTGCATCTGCCATTGCTCTGATGGGAGGATTGATAGACTAAAAACTGTAAGTTCCTATACTTTTTACATATCGTGTAGAAGAGGAAATTTCAGCAGGTGTTGCTTATTACCTGGGTGTGTGACAAGCAACAACTGCTGAATTTACCTTTTCTCTATAATAAAGGTATATAATAATAATTAAATTTATAGTATTTGGTAACTCTGCTGAAGAATAAGTGCAGCCAGGCACACCCCCAACAAGCTTTGGCCCAATCACTAGTGGGAAGCTGTGTCTCCATAACACTGAAAATAAAGATGTGAAGTAGTGGTTTCTCTGTTGGACTAGGAATCTGGGGAGCAGGGTTTGAATTCTCACTCTACTATGTGACCTTGGGCAAGTCACACTGTCATCACAAAGAAAGGCAAAAGCAAACCCCCTCTGAACAAATCTTGCCATGACAGGTTTACCTTAAGTTTGCCATAGATCAGAAACTATGTTAAGATATACAACAACAGCAATAACAACAACAAAGTTGGTGCACTCACATAAATGCTACGTTAAACCAAAGCCACTGCAGAACATTCTAAAATGAGTATGATGTAACACTGAAAAACTGAGAGTGGGGTGGCAAGGTGAAACAGTTTCTTACCTAATTGGAATTATATTTGAGAAAAGAAGAAGAAATCTGATGATCTGAAGGTACCAGCGGCCAGCAAAGTGTTGGAGAGCAACCATGACAAGAGAGACTACCACCAAGGCTCCAAAGAGAATCTTAGTGAGGCAATTCACTTCCAAGTCAAAGAGGCCAATCTGAGAAGAAGAAAAAAGAAAAGATTGCTTCCACCATGTAGCAAGAATGGGTTACCTCTCATTCTCCCACCCCTATGCGTTAAGTTGTTTGAAGCAGGACTTCTTAAACTTTTCCACTCACAACCCCTTTTGGCCTGAGAAATGTGTAATGGCCCCAGATATATATATATATATATATATATATATATATATATATATATATATATATATATAATAGAGATAAAAAATAAACATTTATTGATAACAATTCAGCATTTGAGAGGCTTGCTAAACAGGCTGATTATCCTTTTTATGAAGTACAGCTGAAGAATCTTCTATAAACACTGTACAACAGGTTTGTGTAAATGTTGAAACAATCACTAGGTGACTTTCTGAAAACTTGTCCTGCTGCCAAATTTTTTGGTACTCCAACATTGAACTAAGGGGAGCTCATTTGGGGTCACCATAAGTCATAAATAACTTGAAGGCATACAACAAGTAGAAAGCATCCTAATTGTGTCATATTATCTTCACATAATAGGATTCATAATATAGTTTTGTATAGACAAAACTCCCTGGAGCTTTCCTTTTAAATTTGCTACAGTTAGAAATGCTGACTGTGGCCAGGAAATATTTATGCCATTAAATATTTATGGTATAAAACCACGATTTTTCCATTTAACACACTGTTCTTCTTTAGCTGCATGAGAAAATCTGGATATAATTTGAATGGAAGAAACAGGGATTTTTTTTTATTTCTTCCAAATATTTAGCTACCTATTTTAAGGTTCTTATTCCCCCTTCCTCCAAAATATTTTTTTCGGTCAATTGCTGGTGTTTTCCTTTTGTTCCCATCCCTTCCTGTAGCTCTTCTGAGATGATACCATGCATCTTAAATGCTTTGCTTGATAATGTTTATGTATGCTTGGCTCTCTCCATCTCCACTGATCTAATCTCTTTTGCCTCAGGCTCTCTGCAAGTTGTAGTCTTTTACTTTAATGAATAAAACATGTCATTTTTTTTGCTATTGTGCCAAATCAGCATTCAAAGCATTGTAAACAATAATTTTGGTAGTACTACTCTTTTTATAATACCAGCACCATCCGGATACTGGTACTATTATTATTATTGTCTGACAAATTACTGGATGTACCATAAATTTAGATGCTGAAATTAGATTTTTTTTGAAAGATTTACTTTCAGGTATTTAAATAATTTGTGAAATGTTTGGATACCAATAACATTTAGAATTTTGTGCTGCACTTCAAGCCCAGTGTGTACACACATTATTCCACATTTTTAAAAAAATGAATGCATAATCATGCTAGTACTAGTATGTCATACTTAGGGAATCTTTCTTTAATTACAAAAAAGCGCCTTTAGTATCTTTAGGATAAGGAGAGTGTGAAAGGAGGAATCCAGCATTATCTTTCAGACTTGATTTATTTTAGCACACACTTTTGTGGATTTAAATCGATTTAAAATGGCAATGGACTGAATTATACAAACTTCATACTACAATACATCATCTAAAATAAATCAATAAAAGACATTACTAGATTCCTTCCTTCCTTGTTCCTTTTAATGCTGTAACAGACTAACATTGTTATTATTTTGAACACCACTACAATGATAACTATTATTGGTACATCATACTGATCTTTGTAGTCCATCATGTATTTCCAATGAATTTCTAAATGTGTTGTTGAAGGCTTTAATGGCTGCAATAACTGGGTTGCTGTGAGGTTTCCATGCTGTATGGCCATGTTCCAGAAGCATTATTTCCTGATGTTTCACCCACATCTATGGCAAGCATCCTTAGAGGTTGTGAGGTCTGTTGGAAACTAGGCAAGTGAAGTTTATATATCTGTGGAATATCCAGTGTGGGAGAAAGAACTCTTGTCTGTTTGAGGCAAGCGTGAATTGGTCACTTTGCCTCATCTTGCCAGCAGTGATTGGCCTGGACATTCCACAGATACATAAACCTCACTTACCTAGTTTCCAAAAGACTTTGCAACCTCGGAGGATGCCTGCCATAGATGTGGGTGAAACTTAAGAGAGAATGCTTCGGGAACACGGCCACACAGCCTGGAAAACTCACAGCAACCCTATATTTCTAAATGTTCTATTTCTAACATCTGTTTCTGAAAATGTTCTGTTTCTAACATCTGTTCTGTTTCTAAGAACTTATATTTTGACTATCTGTTGTTGCTCTTATACATTGCTAGAGATTTTAAAGAGAACATAAAAAACAAGGAAGGCCTGCACGTTTTTCTTCCCTTCCCTACATTCTTGAATTGAATCTGTTCATTTTCAATACAGATTTTGATTTGTGGTAAAATGAGTGTACTACTTTCATGAAATATAGTTCAGTATTATATTTCTCCAGGAATTACCTGACATTGTTGCAACCTTTTCTTTCTTGATCTTATTTTGGATTCTACAGCTTTTCCAAAACATATCATTGTATACATATCTCACTGGTTATGTTACAAACATATATACTGTATATATAATGTGTATTTATGAAGTAGTCAGCCATGACTAGCTTAGTGTCTTTCCAAAAGTGCATCTACACTGTAGAATTAATCATGGGACTTGTAGTTTTACAAGGTCTTCTCTGCCAAAGAATGTTGTGCTTCTATAGCACTGAGACATGGCAGTTAAAGCGGCACTAAACTGCATTAATACTACAGTGTAGATGTATCCCAATAATAAATAATAATAAAACTTTATTTATATTCCGCTCTGTCTCCCCAGGAGGACTCAGGGTGGATTCCAAACATAAAAGGCCAACATTCAATGCTCGAATACAACAATATATCCATACTAACAAAAGCTATTAAGAAGCTATAAAGTTTGCACCTTAATGTATTTTTAAAGGTATTTCTTATGCTACCTTATTCCGTGGATTTGATGTATTCATAACACTGCGCAGTTCCCGACCTGTGTACAGAACAACTCCCACAACTGTTCCTGTGGATACAAGAGCTCTTAAGTCAGGATTGGGGGAAATGTTAAAGAAAAGAGGTGTTTTTACAAGAAAAACAAGCAAACATGCAGACATTGATCCTAATTGTCTATCTGATAGCCTCAGAGAGAAACATGACACAGTAAAGGCAATTGTTATGCATATAAATGTGAGTCATTTTAAGAAACAGGAATAGATACTTATCTCCACATCCTACAGCTAAGCTTGCTTTCTATGGATACAATCTATGCTGGTATTACTTACACGGCTTAATTTGTGTTAATTGTATGCCACCTTTCTGCCAACAGAACATCTACCAGTGACATTTATTTAAAAAATCAGTATTACCACTCCCAAGGTGGCTTTTAATACTATTAAAACACACAGGATAAAATCACCAGATAAAAATGTCAAGAACGCATTAGGATAAGGAGTGCAGTGAAAACAGAGAAGCAGTCAAATTAAGAACCAATACTATTCTATTCTTCATTTGTTTTTCTCAGAAACTGGGATGATTCATAGAGCATTTTTTAAAGCCTGGAGAAATGGTTTGTATTTGGTTCTGCCAAAAAAATATTTGTGAGAGGAAACCAAGCAAATTGCCTCAGTAATTGTGGCTTTGATGGATAAATTTTCCCAACAAAAATAAAAAGCCCGAAAACATGAAAATATTTCAATGTTTTATCCAAACTTGTAGGATCCTTTTTTCCCCATCCAGGACTGTTACCAACCATCACTGTTTGTGTCAGATGTGGCATTTATGGTACTTGTAATTTTGCCATATGCAATGAAATTTTAGATTGATCAAGTATATTGAACTAAATGGCTAGTTATTTTTAGTGTCTGTGTATGCTTCCACTGGCCCCTTGGTGGTGCAGCAGGTTAAACCACTGAGCTGCTGAACTTGCTGACCGAAAGGGTGACAGTTCAAATCCAGGGAGCGGGGTGAGTTTCTGTGCTTAGCTTCAGCTTCTGCCAATCTAGCAGTTTGAAAACATGCAAATGTGAGTAGATCAATAGGTACAGCTTCTGCAGGAAGGTAATGATTGCACGGTGCTCCACGCAATCATGCTGGCCACATGACCTTGGAAGTGTCTATGGACAACACTGGCTCCTTGGCTTAGAAATGGAGATGAGCACCTCCCTCAAGAGTCAGACCACCCCACTGAGTCGGACACTTAATGTCAGGGGAAACCTTTACTTTTTTATTATGCTTCCACTAGAACTATCTCAGACAAGCACCCCAGTCTTCATGGCTACTATATATATCAGACTCTCAGGAAAAGAAGAGTTGATAAACAGTTGCCCCTTATATAGACAAGGATTGAATAGCAAACCGAAATGATTAACTGTATACTCATTTTTAGGAAGGTGCTTGAAAGGGCTGGGAGTCTACTTCCCTGGGTAATAACTTCAGTGAAAGAAGGGAAGAAAGGAGAGTGAAGATGAACAGGAAAATTATTTCTAGAAGTAATCTGTCATTGAATATATGTGCTATGATACTACCTAAGGTTCTCTTGAGCCATGACTTTGTTACAACATGCAATACTGCAAATTTGTTCTCCTGGAACTTGCTGAAGTAAGCTTTAAACAGATACATACAGAAAACCTAGAAATCCGTTTTCTAATGCACAATGTTAGTTCAATCCAGCTTTATCAGAAATCAACACAAAAGGTTATATTAGTAGACTGCATGTTGCTCATGCTTTTCCCATGTGATATACGTATGATGCCCAAACTCCACCATGACTGTGCATTCAGTGTTTGTGAGACAAGGCACCTGTACATATAGGAGTTGTCTATTTGGGATCCCTGACATGTAATTTTATACTTGTTCTTGTGCTCCTCAATTGCAGTCAATTCATTCCTGAAAGTAGTAGATCACATCAGAAAGTACTGACTGAAGATCTCATGAAGCATCTGCATAGTTCACCCTTTAAATCTATGGGGCACCAGCAGGCTTCAGCCTGGTCTCATGTGGTCTGCATCCTAATTTAAAAAGCCCTATGTAAGACATCAATTTAGCCCTCTGCAAGATCTATCCATCTTTTCCCCAGCAACCCATTATATGGGAATAAAGAAGAGATGGGGGAGACAAAAAGGTGGTAGAGAGAAGGGGGAGGGTAGAAGCAGAGAGGAGAGAGAGGAAAAAAGATTCCTATATAGAAAGGGAAAAATACATTAACTGCCCATCTGGGGGGAAAGCAAAACAGTAATCTCTGTTTTGGAAAAAAGGAGCTTATCAGAGAGTTCTTTGATTCCTTGCTACTTCTGGATGATACATCTGGTCCTGCTTTTACAAGATGCTCCCCTATGGAGCCACAAACAAGGGGTGCAAATGGGTGTGTTTACATGGAGTTCTTTTATCCTCGCTTCCATTTATAATGTCTCTGACACCCTTTCTGTTACAGATTTAAAATGTCAATACTGACTGCAATTAAGTGCTATTCTAGCAGTGGATGATTTGCCCAAAGGTTATTGGAATTCCAACAGCCTTCTCATCTATAAATGTCCAAGGGGTAATTAAATGTCAGCTCAAACTTGCTGGTGATGTTGGGACAAGTGGGAAACTTTATTCCAAAGACTAATTTTCAATGACAAGAGATGATTATTTCAATTACAAAGAAGTTTTGTTTAAAAAAAAATGCTAACATGCTCCATTATAAATTCACATGTCGAATTGTTCTTACCTGAAGCAATGACTGTGCTTGCCCATAGCGTATTTTCAATACTTAAGCTTTCATTCACAGGTGGGTCACTGTCCTCCTGAAAGAGTTAACCACCCCACACACACAAATATGAATTCTTAAGAGCTGCTTTGTACAGACTTTTCTAAGAACAAGTTTTACATTATTTTTGGATCTTTGTGAACTGACATGAATGTGTTAATTCTGCAGCACTATTACTACTGCTGTCCTACTTATAAAAGGAATGAGGCCATGTGCACCTTTCCCATTTCAGGAATATGGTATCCACAAAGTTTTTTTCTTTTCTTTTTTATGATTCTATACAGAAGTTAGATGGGGTGCTTTAGTAATGTCTTCCTGCATGGCAGCATTTGGGCTGGATGTCTCTCCCTAATTTAAAATTCTATGATTCTATATAGAAAGAAAGTCATTACAGACTACCTGCTTGGAGCCTGTCATAAAAATGCTGCAAAAGTTGTTGCAAATTCCTTTTAGAAAATAATACAGAACTATACAAATGACATAGAAACCTCAGACATCCTAAAAATACAGATATTCAGAGGCAGATCTGCCACCCCTACATTATGAACCATGTGCCAGACGCACTATCTTCTTAAACAATGTCAAAATTGTCTCCAAGCCTGAGGGTTTTATAGAGTTGAAGACATCGTTTTAATTTTATTTCCTTCAACAACAAAGCAACCACTTACTCGAGTGAATGTTCCAACGAAGTTGTGGATGTCAATGTTTGGTTCCTCTGCATACACATATGAGCGGATTTGAAGAAGGTCCTGCAGAAAAGTTGCAAGAAGTATTAAAATCCACTAAACTTCATATTTTAAAGAAATCCCACTTTATAAAGAAGCAATGAAACCTTTTGAGGTGAAGAGGACAACCTCACTATACATTGACTAATTGTATGCAGGAGACTGAAACCATATAGAGGGAAGGAAAATGCATGGGCAGGAAGGAAAGAAAAATCCCTGAAATGATTGTGATGGAAGAAGTAGTTGGTAAGTTGGTAAGTTTTATGCTAGCAAGCTTTTAGCAAGATTGATTTGTACCTCATCTCAGGAATGGAAAGAATATTTGTTGTTATTTGCTCCTTCATCAAAATGATATACAGAAACCCAGTTAGGATATAGCAGTGATAATTTTACATTGTTTTCATCCAGTAGTCACACAGAAAGAAGGGAAGCAGAAAAATTGATGTATTTTTGTGTATGATGAGGGACAGTATATTCGTATATGGATTTTCATAGCTGGTACTATCTTCCACTTATTGCCAAGAAACACTTTTGAGAGATTATCCTTTAGGACTCTCACCAGAAAAAGGAATCCCTGACATGAGAGCTGTACAGATGAAAACAAACCCTGCTTTTTATTCATATGTTGCATTAGTGAATCTTATTCTACCACCTAAGCCAGGGACAGAAATCCTATGACATTCCAGATTTTATTCAGCACAAATACAAGAAGTACAAGCCTGTTTAGGTGAAGAATACTGGGAGATACAGTCAAACAATAACTGCAGGAATGATTTGTTTGCCAGTTTTGATCTAAACAATTTCAGAAAGTTACTTATAGAAGTTGTGGAAAGACTCATGTCCACTTGCCATTCATTTCAAAGTGGCTAATGAAGAAGAGGTGCTCAAATGAGCTTAGTTTTGGTTTTTAGTTATTTTTTCAAAGATTTGAAACAATCACCAGCTGCAAATTAGATATCTGTACGTACTGAAGCCGTGGGTAACCTCTGAGTACAGCTAACTGGCAGGCGTAATTTCCAGTCCGTTTCACCATCCAGCTGATCCGTTCGGAGAAAGCAGGACCCTGTAAATATTTAATCTGTGTTAGTAGGATGGGATGTTGTTGTTCTTCATATAGCATTATAAAAACTACAAATCTGACAGTGATTCAGAAGTTTGTCTTTGTCTTGATGAATCCATGTGTTAGTTCCAACCATCTACACAGAACACCAAGGGAGGCGAATAACTAAGGACATTCATTTCAACTCATATTCCCAGAACAATGCTGCAAGCAGAAACTTTGCCATTAACTCATTCTTTCAAGTGTGTGTGTATGTATTTTTCAATGTTTTGAATGTCACAACCCAATTGCTTCAGTGTTGGAGACAGTTCCATGCAAGCCTTCTTGGTGCACTTTTGATCTGGGTCATTGTTTTTATATGACCCTCAAACAATTTGACTGTGGCCACCAGGACAGTAATATGGCTGCACTTGAGTAAACAGTGCCACAGGCAGCTGTTCACTTGATAAATATTATCACACACAGGCTTTAAATCATGTCATTTTCAAAATCATGTTTTTATTTCCTTAAAGTTCTATTTGAAATTAAGTCAATAAATACCCAAAGAAACCTCAGAATCACTCATTCCAGACATGGAAACTTTTTACAAGGTGGACTTTTCATGCTATCCAAATAACAAGTGATGTATGTTAAAAGTCAAGCTCAGCAAAGCCAAAGTGAGTGATAGCAGTCAGCATTAATCTCTCTTTTCTGCACATTGGTTGACCTTATAAAACAGGACACCCTCCAGGGCAAAGAGTCTTGATGCTTTAAATGACCAGGAACTATAAAGCAAGAAAGATACTTGAACTATCAAAAAAGGACTTGTTTGACTCAAGGAGACATGTTGAGTCTAAAATTATATATACTCAGGTTACATTTTCAAAAAGATTATTTTGTCCCAAATAACCGGCAAAAGGTTAGTGGCTATTTTCACAATTGGCTCCAGATGTTTACCATTCTTTTCTGATGTTCTTAGGAAGATCATGTCGGCAGGGACACGCTGATTCTGTGTTACAAAAAAAGAAAAGAAAGGCAGTTATCAAATGTTCAGAACACAAATTGAAGACATGCCCTAGCTATGAGGATTTTAAAAAAAGAATATTCTTTAGAACACAAGATTATTACTGTTTTGAAGATTACAACACACAGTATTACAAAAGCCTTTGGAAATGTATAGAATATTGGCTAATGCAGGCATACCTTTTCCACAATGATAAGATCCCCCACTTGAATACTGGAGCTTTTCACTTTCATTGTCCCTGTTGGGAAAAATAGAGATGTAATAATTCATCTCCTGTACAGCTTTCTTTGAAAACATTGTTTAGAATTATGTAGAATTCATATTCTGACTGAGGCTGGAACATTAAATTGGTTCAAGTAGAAGAACATTAAGAAGGATATACAATTACATAAAATAGCTCTTTTGGTTGAAAGAAGCCAAGCCTAATGAAAGGGGAGACAGGAGACATACACATATCATAAGGTGATCGAAAAGGTAAAGAAGACATTTTCCTTTCTCTTTCACACTAAGAGGGCAGCATTTAACCAGGGAGGGGAAAACATGGTCCCTAGTTTACATGAGCCCCTCCCCGCTTTTTTGTTGTTTGCGGACTATAGAAACTAGTTCTTTGATGCCCAAAAGTGATTTTTTGTTTTTAATTTTCCTGTTCCATAAACATCAATATTGTAGCCAAATGGAGTACAGAGACCAGCCCGCTCAGCTCACCCCCCAAAAAGGGGGGAGAGAGGAGACCAAGATCACAACCATTTTTTTTAGTTCAGAATGGACTACTATATAATCTGGGGGCCTAAAAGTGGCCCCTGAACTGTTGGATGTTGCCCATATGGGCTCTAACCCAATGTCTGTAACATCCCTATGTATTGCTTTAGAAGAAAGAAACTACTTCCTTCAAAAGTTGTTTTTACTCATGCACAAATTGAACAAGGAAATTAAACTAACTGAAAACTAAGAAACAAGAGGAGCCATTCTGGATCAGGTGCCCTTCTCTGGGACTTCCTATTGGGGTATCTTGTTAGCCACTAAGGGAAATAGGATGAAGAAACAATTCAGGCCTTTAGTTTGTATATTCAAGGCACCAGTCCTTATCCTGGCACCCTCTAGATATCAGGGAATGCATCCCACAATCCACTCTCGGTCAGCATGACTGGGGTCAAAGGATGTTGGAAGATGCTTGGTTAAGAAAGGCTGTCTTAAGGGATACAGCATATCACAGCTTTGAGCCATGGGATGAATGTTGTCTAATTTAATAAGCTTTCAGCATATGATGGGCTTCAGTGCCTCTTCTTCAAAAGGAATAATGAAAGTTTCTTCTAGAATTGCAGATGGCCAGGTGTTCTTGTGGCAAATGTTGCACTCTTATCAAAGCACTTTATCACTCCTGCTAATAGAAGCTCAAGACTTCTTCCAATCCTGTGCTTGCTGCTACAAATGGTGAACTGTCATTAAAGAAACAAAAACCTACAACAGTGTTAGTTCATTTATGCAAACCCTTATCTAATCTGCCTTATACACATTCTGCAAATTCATGAGGCTATTTTACACACACACAGAGAAGTGGCATCCTTGAGTTGTATCAAAGGAAAACTTTTGAAAGCCAAAATTACATTGGGAAACATAGCTCTTAAGATAAATCCAATTGTTTTGAATGTATTAGGCTGAGGTTTAAGCATATCTCTCAAGGACCTCCATTCAGGGGTGCTACAAACCCAATGCATGCAGCACACAAGAAAATAAGACTCCAGTATCAAATTTAGAATGAACACACACACACACAAAAGAGTAGTGAATTAACCACAACAAGCCAGTTGAAGGAAACAAAAAAAAAATCAAATAAACCATCACCCAAATCCAATTGTTACCCCTAACTTTAAAACATTGTCCCCTTGAATTCTTTTGGTTATGTCTGAGCCAACTCACTGAATTGATACTATTTGCTTTTGGCCAAGAAATGACAAAATAAAGTGAAAATATGATATACCTTGTGCAAATACTAATTATATTGTGTTCACTTACTAGGCAACAATTTATTTAATGATTCTAAGAGAGCCACTAAGTGTTGAAGATAACCCAAAAGTACATTCTCAAAACATTAAGTATTACAACAACTTCCTTCCCAAGCACAGGGATAGATATCCAGTGGCATGATGATGACCCAAATCTACCATGCATTGTTTGACTGCTTCTGCAACTTCAGAGAAAGGTGATCTCTGTTGCTTGAACAATGAGCCACCAGTGCCCCAAACTAGATTTTTCATATATGAATTAATAGAAGTACATCCCTCACAATCGCAGATAGTGAGAGATGTGACTAAATACTGCAACAAGAACAGGACTATTCCATTTGAATATTCCCTTCGTTATTAAAAATATGCTGATAGACTAGAAAAGACAGCAAGATTTGTTTTCATTAAAGCTTTGGCTGTTAAAAGGTGGCCTTACTCTTCATGACTTGTGAAACAGAGCACAAAAGGTTTGGGAAAACACTTTTTTATATACAGCTGGTAAATGCTAATGATCTGTATCAAAGGAGCACTGTCTTGGCAGGTGGTCTCTTTGCATTTCATAGGGTTTTTGAAATGTAGGTCTCACTTACCCTACTCAATAATCTTGAAAGCTGGGGATAGGGGGAGCAAGAAAAGAAAAACAACCCTGGAATTTTAAAGCAACAACCTCCAAAAGACATCCAAAACAGAAATTCAGCCTGCAAATTTCATAGCAAAGTTGGGCTAAAGAATGAATGAGATGGAAAGTTAAATCTGATTTATTCAGCTCACTTCATATTTCTTTCATCAATTCCTTTTGTGGTGCCCGCCAAGGTGACACCAAAGGTGAGTCCAAAAGACAGCAACCTTTGATGCTTTGATGGAATGCCAGGTAAACTGTTTATGGAATGAGCCAATTTCAAAATATCTTTTATTTAGTTAACCTTAATAACAATTAGGTTTCTAACATAGCAGTCAGTGTGGTTCACTCCAAACAAAGCAGATTTTTTAAATTCCTTGAAGCCATGCTGGAGGAAGAGAGCACACAATTGTGCTAGTTCAAGGGTCATAAGGCTAAACCATGGTTTATTGTTACATGCAGATTAGGTGCCATTTCTTCCCACTTATTTGCATCCCTCAGTATAAAGTTGAATGTTTGCCTCTATGTTTTTTGTTTGTTGGAATCCGCCCTGATTCTCCTTGGGGAGATAAGGTGGAATACATTTATTATTATTATTATTATTATTATTATTATTATTATTATTATTACTACTACTACTACTACAGTATGAGAGAACCATTTTAAATAATGTGATAGATGCAGAATATTCTTTTTTGTGAGAAAGGATAGCAGTCACATTTACATTTGTGTTCCAGACCTCCAAGAAATTACCATCTTATCCTGTAAAGAGACCCTATAGCTCCACTTGGAGTACAAACAACAGACAGGGCTGCTAAACCACGTGCCTCCCAGCTTGACAACACTGGCCCCCAGTCAGTCTTTCCCTCCTTCTCTTCCAGAAGTCCTGCTTTTCTAATTGTCAGCAACATTTGATTGAGTTGCAACTCCTGCTGTTCTGGCAGTCTGCTAAGGGATGCAGTGAGCAGATGTGAAAAGCTGGAGCCAAACAGCTGACCTCTTGCTGTGAGTTTGCTGTAGATCTGGGAGTTCACTTCCTTGTCACGCATGCAACATCGGATCTCTTCCACAGCTTCACGGATGATAGTAACAGCGAGCACAAAACCCTAAAGAGACCAAGAGGGAAAGGGGTCATTGAGGCTGCACAGATGAAGTCCAGCTTATTCCACTCGCTACTTATTATAGGAAATACTTGTTCTTTCTGGTAGGATCTACCACAGAGCTTTCCAAACATAACACACTAGTTTGTTGTCTACAGTATGCAAATGCAAACATAATAAAAAATGACAAAAATCTTGGAAATGTATGTTATCATCTTATAAATAATATATTTAAATGATAAATGAAATATTTCCATTACATATGTTATTAATTTTGTTATTATAATTTATGTATGTATCTCTTGTAAAAAGTTAGTTTAAGCTCCAGTTTGCCGGTAAAACAAAATTACTGTGTCACAAAGTGATGCATGTCTAAAAAGTGTGTCACCAACATGAAATATTTGAAAAGCTCTGGTCTAGCAGATAAAATGTGACAGTACTGCTACTTGTGAATTTTTGTTTTTTGAAAAAATATATATGTCCCACTCTATATCACAAAAATCTCAGAGCGTTATAAAGATAGAAAGTCAATTTAAAATAATTAAGAAGAGATCAAATTTTGTAACAGTTTGGAATAATAAAGGTAAAGGTTTCCCTTTGACATTAAGTCTAGTTGTGTCCGACTCTGGGTGGTGGTGCTCATCTCCATTTCTAAGCCAAAGAGTTGGTGTTGTCTGTAGATGCCTCCTAGGTCATGTGGCCAGCATGACTGGATGGAGCATCATTACCTTCCTGCCAAAGCAGTACCTATTGATCTACTCATATTTGCATGTTTTCAAACTGCCAGGTTGGCAGAAGTTGGGGCTAACAGTGGGAGCTCACCCCTCTCCCCAGATTTGAACCACCAACCTTTTGGTCAGTAAGTTCAGTAGCTCAGTGGTTTAACCCTCTGCACCACCAGGGGCTCCGTTTGGAATAATATATATCATATAAACATGCATTAAATAATTGATATTGTTTCAAACCATGTTACCATACATATCTGGACCAAATCATTACACTACATAGGTTTGATTAAAAGCTATGTTTTAACATGGTGATGGAAAAAAACCAATTTAAACCTGCACTAGGAGATAGCATTTTTCAACCCAACTGCAACATTATACAGTAGGAGATACTTTCTCATATCCTCATACTGTTTGGATAGCTCCTCTCAGGGAAACAAGGAAAAATAATATGGGCTTCATTAAATTGTCACATCCTTCACAGAGAAGAACTTTGGAGTTCATTGTATTTGATGATGAACATTTAAAGGGAGATTTTAAATATTCATAGAACTCAAAAAGGAAAATTTCTAGCTCCCATTAATGCAAACAAATGTGTTTATTAATTAAATAGATATATTTTATCTTCCTCCATACATGACATGTGCCATTTCCCACACTTTATTCCTTACAGCAACCCTGGTAAAACAGTTTAGACCACAAGTGACTTGCAGTTTCTCAAGTCACTCCTGACATGAAAATAAAATCTATCTACCTCAAATTACTATTCAAGTTTTCATCACATTAAAATACACTTCTCCATATTTTAAAGTGTGCCCATCATTTGAATTAAACCAGTCTCAACTTCTTTAATTTTAGATTTAAAATAAGAGCCCTGCTGAAAATTGTGATGTCCTATTGTTCGCTTTATATTGTTTCAGGTCCATCTCCCACTATGGACAAACTTTCCCCAAAATTTGGCAGTTTTCCATTTTTTTTCTTTTTCATATTGATAGTCATAGGTAGCCTAAATATCTTAAAGACACTAGATCCCATCTGATCATGGAAGCTAAGCAAGGTCAGCCCTGTTTAGTACATGAATGGGAGGCCACCAGTGAATAGTAGGCTATATTTCTGAGGAAAGCACTGGCAAAACCACTTCCAAAGATTTCTTGCCTTAAAAATTCGAAGAAATTTCTGGGGTCACCATAAGTTGATAGATGACAACACACACACACACACCTCTATATTAGTTAAAAATTATCAGAATCTCATTGCTCATTAATACAACAGGCACAACATTCAATATTTTGTTATTCTCCCACTGCTTTTAACTGGTTTCATCTTTTTGAAAAACAAGCAGGGTTGATTTGTAAATCTCTTCATAAAAATCAAATGACATGTAGATAAAGATAGAGATATATTTCATGTAACTGAAAAGTAAGTTTAATTAAATTCAGTGGAGGTTACTTGCACTTAAGTGGGGTTAGGATTATGGCCTTACTCAAGTTATATTTTTAACTTTGTTTAAAAAATGAAAACCAGTTGCCACCAAAGAAAATTCTCAGTACAGACACAGGTTGTATCTTGTTTCTTAATACTGATTTCTTCCTACATGTAACACAAAGGATAAAGAGTTTGTTTCTTAAATCCAATTAAGGCCCCAGGAGGAAATCAGTCTGTTCTACTAATTTCAAGGCGTCTTCCACCCCCTTGCATATTGTGTATGAACATTAATTCAAAAATTATTGCATGCCCTCAAGGCTTGGAATAGCTTTACAAAGAGATGCAAATACTGCAGAGGGAAAACTTCTAACTGCAGAAGTTTGGAAGTCATTAGTAAGCAGCACAAAGCAAGTCCAGAGGGATCTGGAGTCATTATTCTCATCTGGGGACACCAATATATTATCTGATTAAATGAAAAGTGCCCTTTCACCTTGCTCAAAGATGGAAACTTCTTCTGATATTTCAGAGTTACAGTCTTACACATCCTTTTGTTATATACCTTAGTTGAACTCTGACTTATGCTGATCCTATCACAGGGACTTTTCTTGGCAATATTTATTCAGAGGGCATTTGGCATTACCTTCTTCTTTGACCTCCCTTGATCAGCCAGAGGGTTTTCCTGAGCAGTGCTTCAAACTCTGGTCTCTCAGAATCCTTGTCCAATACTCAAACCCAATAGTAAACTGACTCTATACACATCCCTACCTTGAAACAAACCTCAAAGAACTCAAGAAAATACAAAATCAACCAAACAGTGACATCTTTATTGGCCAGCCAAAATGCACAAAACACATCATGCACATTTTCAAAGTATCATTGACTTATTCATCAAGCAAAGATATTAAAAACCATAGAGCTGTTTTGTGGATTATATATTTTGCTGCAAGGCCAACATGTCTACCCTGAATATGTTTGCCAAAGAACTCAGTGGGACTTACTTTCGAATAAACATGTTGGAGTGTATGTTAAATTACAGGATTTTTAACTGCTGCTGAAAATACTATTATTACTTATTGTTGTTCTGAAAGAGCATCTGAAATTTAGTTTGTTCTCTCTATACAAAATTTATGCAAACACAAATAACAATCTTGATGCATTTGAGTATTAGGATATCAAATAATCATTTCAAATAGGTTCCCTAATATTCGCCTCACTGACTTATCTCAACTCAAGTTGTCATTCCGTGTCAAAACGGTTGCATTTGCAGCCTACAATGAACAAAAGGCTTTTATATAGAACTCTGGCAGCTCACATGCTGAATTCTAATGGTTCACATGATGTGGGCAATCACAGTGGTATTACAGATTTAGAGAAGCCCTGCAAAATTACAAATAGTCTCCAACATTTTCTCGATTGCTTAGTAGTAAAATTTGAACATTCTTAAAAAGTGACTTCTCAGATTCTGTATAATCTTTCTCTCCTTCTCAACTACACTGTCCTTTTTTGAACTGTAAATAATCAAACATATATGTAAATAAATATTTAAATAGACTTTTCTTATACATTTGATGTAAAATCTAAGAACGTTACACTGCTCTACCATTGCACATATCTGTGAATACAATTAAATGTCCCACTTCTGGGCTATATTATCTAATTGGCTATGAAGAGCTTCTATTTAAGAGGCTAATTTATTTTTGCAGAGATCTTTTAAATCTAACTTGGTGAGACTTTTTTTTTTAACTGAGCATTTAAGTGATGCAACAAACTCAATAATCTCATCCTATGTTTGAAAATGCTCTCACCCAAATGTTTGAGAATGCATTTAAACATGAAATCTTGATGCTACAGAAAATCCAAATGAATGTTTTCCATTTCATTTTTTTGGTCTTTTAGTTGGACAATGGAAACAACATGGTGAGCAACAGATTCCTATTAATGGTTGCCCATTTTTAACAATGCCCAATTTATTATAATTTTTAACATTTCTTAAGAATAATGCATCATGGACACATTTCCTCAGATTTGCTTGATGAAAGTTTATCTAAATTTCTAAATATTTTCTTGGAGTGTTCCTCTGACAAACTACACATAACTTTGTGATTTCATTTGTATCACTAAGACTCAAATCCCTTCCATTCCGTTCGCCTAAAATGTATTTTACATCCTGGAATCTGGTTAAATTGTGATAATACTACATTCAGGACCTCCTCCACCTCTTCTCCCTCCCTCCTCCCCCTCTTCCCTTCATCCTCTCTCCAAAGCCAAATGCATATGATATTCTTTATGCGTTGGACTGAAAAAGCTATAGCTACTTCTGGATGTTGCATTTTGGGGTATCCTGAACAATTTCCTTTCCCCTGATAACTAGCAATCATAGTATTTTGGGGGTATCCTGAACAATTTCCTTTCCGCTGATAATTAGCAAACATAAAGAAGTAAAAATTGGATAAAATGAGAAATTTTATATAGATTAGTTCTGCAGTGTGTCCATTTCAGAGAAGACAGCTTTGTCAAAAAATCACTTGGGCATTGGATTTTTAGCATAGGATCCCAATCCAGGTAATCAATGAATGATAGGGCATGAAAAAAGTCCAACCCTCTGCTTCTTGGTAGGGGGTTGGACTGGATGGCCCATAAAGTCTCTTCCAACTCTATGAGTCTTTGATTCTATGAAAACAAGTTAAATACAGTAAAAGTATCTGGCTTAAGTAGAAATAGCCTTATATAACTAACATGAGATATAGTATTTGTTTTATCTTCTAAAACATTATAATTCCACACTTCATCCAGAAATTATGTTATAAGGTTCTCACTGTTTGAGATTAGTCACAAAACAAGACAACTAAAAGGAGAGGCAGGCAATTGATCAGGAGATAGGGGCATGTGCTTTCGATATCTACCTGGCAGACCACCATAATGCTATTTTACACGCCCAAAGTGATGTGATGTCATTTCTGGAGAACATTTTGCCTGGTTTTCAGTTTGTTTTGTTTTGTTTGGTGGTTTTGGTGGGCTTTGCTGATATAAGGAAACACCCATTTTTTCAAAGAGAGTTGACAGCTTTGGGTAGTTTTCAAACAAACAAACAAACAAACAAAACTATGCACACACACAAAAACAACCAACACAAATTAAAAAAATTGTGGTCTGAAGCATTTAGGGGCTTTCTGGGGTGGTATTCAGCAGTTGGAAGGGCTGCATTTGGTCCACTGACTGCTTTTTTTGTACTGAAAAGAACCAATGTTATGTTGTTGCTTGAGTGCTGAATTATGACTGGTTAGAAGAACTATCCAAGGTGCTAGATCTGCTTCAAGGACCCAGATGCCTTTTTTAAAGTCCAGACTAAAATGTAGAACCAATTCACCACCTCACTGGCATGGAAACCACTAATCAGTGGTAACACATTATTTCCAATCTTTGTTCCTATCACTGGCTGCCAGATTCTCATAACTGGAGGTTTGTTTGTTTTTTATCGTGTCAGAAGCAACTTGAGAAACTGGTCAATGATGTAGATCAGTGTTTCTTACACTGTGCTCCTCCAGGTGTTTTGGACTTCAGCTCCCAGAAATCCCAGCCAGTTTACCAGATGTGTTATCAATTGTGGGAGCCAAAGTCCAAAACACTTGGAGAAGCACAGTTTGAGAAACTCTGATCTAGATGATGGGAGTTTTAGTCCAATGGCATCTAAAAGATAAGAAACCCACCACACCTGAACTTCAGTGTGTTTTACAGTCCAATTAAAACTATGATGCAGGTTTCTGACCATATATCAGTCTGATGATGGTCAACATGTCTTAAAGAGTAGTTTTCTGAAAAATATTGGCAGTAAAATCAACTGTCTCCCATCTGTTCTAAGACTTCATCATTCTTCTGCTTCCCCATCCCTTTCACTTTCACCTATTATTTCAATGTGAGCAGTTTGAAAGTACACAATGATTCTCAGTCAGTATGAGTTTATTGCTTGAAGTGGCTGAATTTGGGATATATTTATAGTAGCAAAATTTAACAGGAGTCTCATTTTTAAAAAAGCTTAAAACAAGCCAAAATCTGGCTAGAAAAGCAGTGACAACTTTTTCTATGTGCTGTCTTTTCAGAATTGTCAGTCAACATTGATCAGATTTTAGCATGCAAAGAAATACATAATAGCATCTTCAACAGAAGCGATATATAGCTGAGATTGGGAAAATGAAGAAAGCATAGTGACAATCAAATTTGGAGTTTCCCTCCTGGCTTTAAAGTAAAGCAACAGAAATATCAAAAAATGAAATATGTAACAAATAGCTTCCCTATCAAAGATTATGCTGCCTGGGGATGACAAATCACAATCCAACACTTCCAGAGTGCTTCATATTGGGAAAGACTATTTCATAAAGACCTGAAATCAGGTTTTCAGCAACATTACTATCTGCCACATTGCACTGGTAGAACATATTAATTACTTTATAACAAACATAATTGATATAATGTTCCCATGATAGTCCCCCCACCCCACCCCGAAGTTAACCTGAGGGACTCTCCCTTTGGTTTAGAGTCTTAGAATAGCTGAGTTATGGGATAAATTACACTTTGGATCAAGTATCTCCTCATGCGTTCGCTACCTTCTACCCATTGCTCAGGGTTTTGTTTCTGAATGACAAACATTTATTAAATCAGTTTTAAAAGTCAGATGGAGCATCTACAATTCCCAAACACATAAAGAGCTGGTTTCATAAAAATAAGCTAACAAAAACCATTTAAGTGATACCGTTACAAGGATTGTCGAGATAATGTTAACAAAGGACATCTTGTATTTAAACAGTGAAACTTTTCTTGAATAAATAAACTTGATATTACATACCAGTGGAACCCAATATGTGTAAAGTGCACCAAGCCTCATTTCAGGAACAAATTGAGAACAGGCCAGAAATAAGAAATAAAGGTTGAAGAAGTACTTGAATTGATTGAACAGCACCTAAGGGGAAAAAAATAAGTATGCAGAGTGATTGACAAGGAAAACATTTGTAAGATTTCATCTACAGGTTAAGTTTTCTGCAAAAGATAAAAAGATGTCTTAGAAAAACACATTGCTTTTAATGAAATGAAAAGTTATATTTAAGTTATGTTGTAGTAAAAGAGTAAAATATTCTTCAGATGCAAAAATGAGAAATATTCTTGAGAAAGCACAATAGAAGAAAATATTTTACTGATTGAATGGATTTGTACCCCACCTTTCTTTTAAGGTGAGATGCAAAGACATTTGGATCAATATTTTTGAATCAATTTCATTTATATGTCATGACAAATGAAGCTGATATATAAATTAATGTCAGAAAGTGTGTATTAATGGTGGGAAAGGAAGAAAATTCATTTTTAAAAAGTAATACACCTACCCCTGGTAAAAAAGTAAAGAAGTTGTATTTCTGGTTGTTGATGACATTGCGGGGGTATCTCTGGTCTCTTTTTTCTGGGTGGCCAAGCCAAACTGTTCGAGGCCTTGGGTCTCTTCTTCCACAACATCTTAAGCACTCGCAACATCTGTTGAAAGAAAACATTTTGCTATTTTGAGAAATGTTAACTTTTAGCCTCAAATAACTTGAAAGGTTATTTGGAAATGAGGAGGTGAGATTTAAACACTTCTAACAATAGTAACAGCTATTCAGAATCCCACTGCTTCTAAACTTATATTGTTCACTGAAATCACCAAATCGTAGGTCAGAAAACCCCATAAATGTGTGATGGACTATGTGAAAGGATTTTTTTTCTCCTTTACACAAAATTAAATGCCTATACCTTTATTTGGTGACCTGAGTTCTGAATGAGTTTGGAAAGAAGGGGGTATAAAAGTTCCTTCCATTCTGCTAATTTGAGCTTAGCTGCCTTGAAAAAAGGATATACAATTTTCAGTCTTTTTTTTAAAAAAAATTCCCATTCTCCAATTGCTCACTTCTGTGAAGGTAACAATTTGTGTGAAGGTAACAATTTCAGAAAAAGGATAGCACATGCAATACACAACACCATCAACAAACTACGCTGATAAATTTTATTCTAAGGGCTACATTAGTACATTTCTGTACTAATAATGCCAAAGAGGAAATTTTGGCAAATACGAGAGGTATTTTTTAAGTAAGGTCAGTTTTGTTGTAGACACTCTTAGGTTTGCGCGCATACCGCAACGAGCGCGTGCGTCATGTACCAGCATGCCTCGGGAACAACTGTGCTCAGTTTCTGCTCTGTAGCTAACCTGTACGGTTCTGTTCTGTGCTTTAAAAATGTTTAAGACTATCAACTCACCCTCCGCATTTGCCTCGCTTCAACTGAAGCCACCAAATTATCTGTAATCAAAGAAGGGCGACCGGAGCGGTCCTCATCATGGACGTTGTCACGGCCATCTTTGAATTGTCATACCCACTTACGCACTTTGCTTTCACTCATAACAGTATCACCGTACACTTCACAAATCTGTCGATGAATTTCTGCAGCAGGCAGGTTCCTTGCTGACAAAAACCGTATCACTGAGCGAACCTCACATGCGGAGGGTGAGTTGATACTCACTATGAATTTCATTTCATGTTTAAATAAAAAGGAATTCAAAGAGTATTACCAAGTTGTACTTTGTCACTGGGTTGCTACTGATAACGACAATGGAGCGCAGCTCTAGCACTGCCTTCTGTCAACAGAATAATGTACACTGCAGTAACCATAACAGTGTATATTGTTTAATGGGGGAAGAAAAACCTGTCTGTAATGGGCAGATTTTGCATTAGACAGCATGCTAAGACCCAGAAAGGGATAGATTCAAGCACCTTCTCATAATTGGAAATTCAGAATCTTCTGTCATCTTATCATATCAATCATACAAAAAATAAAAAGTAAAATAAAATCAGAGCTAAGAGTTGCAAGTTCCACGCACACACACACAGGAATGTAAAATCTTACATAAAAGGTATGTCTTAGTAAAGACATATTAGATTGGATTAGAAAGTTCTATACACTTATTTCTGAGTAAATAGAACTGATCTCACTTCAAATAAAAAGCGCTATAATTGTGTGAAAGGAGCCCATGAAGTGCAGTCTGAAAAACATTATGAGAGAAAAAGTCCTGCATCAAACTACCAATCCCAGGATTCCATAGGAGGCAGCCAGACCAGCTAAATTCGAATCAAAGCAAAAGGAACAAGATTATTGTTTTTCCTCTCCATAGAACTCTGGAATCTTAGGATTTTATCACATTGAGCTCCAAATGGTGGGAGCTAGCAGGGGATTCGCCATGCAGTATAGAGAATCTGGCAGGCAGTGTCGGAACCTGTCGTCCCCTTGCCTATCCCCCTGCGCTCACCCACTTCTTCCCTGTTCTTTTCAGCGTCCTAGAATGCTTGCAAGATTCTGGAAGCATGGAGCCCTGCTAGAAGTAGCCCTATGTTATCTGATGGGCTCTAGCAGGCTCTGTGCTTCCAGCATTCTGCAAGCATCCTAGGACGCTGAAAATTGTTAATGTGATGAGGTCATGCATAGGCTGGTTCTACACTGCCAAATAATGCCATCTGAACTGCACTGAATTGCATTATATGCATTTTATTTTTCATTATGTTATTTTGTACTGTTTATTTTACTTGATTAGTTTATTTATTTTATTGTGATGTTATTTTGTTGTTTATATTTTATGTTGCTGTAATGTATCGCTGGGCTTGGCCTCATGTAAGCCACTCAGAGTCTCTTTTGGGAAGATGGTGGCGGGGTATAAAGTTGTTTATTAATTATTATTATTATTATTATTATTATTATTATTATTATTATTATTTTCTACACTAGCCATATAATGTAGTTCAAACTGCACCTTTGAACCAACCGTAGAGCTGGAAGTCACCGCAAGGGCCATTTAATCTAATCACCTTGCTATGCAAGAATACACAACTAAAACACTTTTGAAAGATGCCTATCTAACCCCCGTTTAAAGACCTCCAAAGAAGGAGTTCATCACCTTCCAATGCAGCTTATTCCACTGTTGAACAATTCTCACAATAAAGTTTTTCTTAATCTTTAGATGGAATCTCTTCTGTTAAACCTCTTTTAGAATCCACACCTTAGTTTTAATTGGGTTCCCAAAACTATGTCAGTAAAGTGCTTTTTAACAAGTTTAAGAAGATTAAAGGGGAAGGAAAGTTAAGGCAAAGATCATTAAGCTGAGACACACAAAGGTTAATATCACAGTCACATTTGCCGTACAGTAAAGCTAGAGAAAGCCAGTTCATACAGTGGTTTATTCAACCACTCAAATTTACTTTGAGTAATAATTCTTGCCTATTCAGCTGATTTGGATAGGTCAATAACAATGAGAAGCAAGCTCATTTCTGTTTAAGGAACAGGTGAGTGGCAGACCTGTCCCGGATTTGCACACTGCAAAACAGGAAACACTTTGTGGAGCGGCAAACAACAGCAAACGGACTCTTGTTTTGTTTTTTAAATAAAGTATCACATTTCTTGCTCTCCACCTCACTGCCTGCAAACAAGTATCACAGACTTCTTATTTACTAAGGAAATTCTTTTAGAAGAAAACCTGCGCCTCCCCAAAAGAGTAAATAGAAAATCCAGTTAGGTACATGAAACATGCCTGGAGATATTCTCTCTCTCTCTCTCTCTCTCTTTCTCTCTCTCTTTCTCTCTCCCTCTCTGTGTGTAAGTGTCTTCCTGTCATGTGTCAACTTATGGCTACCCCATGGATTTAATAGGATTTTCTTAATAAAGGAATATTCAGGGATGGTTTGTCAGTTTCTACAGCATAGTAATTTGTGTCGATATGTCTGTGTATTTTTGTTCTTGTCTTTTATTGTTGATATGGTCAGTGGACTGATTAATAAACAAATCTATCTACAGCTACTGGGATTTACTTGAGGTCTCCCACCCAAGTACTAATCAGGGCTAACTCTGCTTAGCATCCAATGTCAGACAGGATCTAGTACCTTTATGAAATGTTGTGTGTTGTTGTTGTATGACTCCAAGTTGTTTCTGACACATGGTCACCCTAAAGCAAATCTATCATACAGGGTTTTTTTGCGGGGGTACGATCTACTTTCCAGAATCATATTTCTGTGCTCAAAGGATGTTAGCTCAAGGCCTTTCCAGACAGGCCCTATATCCCAGGATCTGATACCAGTTTTTCTGTTTATCCCAGATTATCTGGCAGTGTGGACTCATATAATTTAGTTTATAGCAGAAAAATCTGGGATCAGATTGTGGTATATAGGGCCTGTCTAGAAGGGCCCTAAGTTTAAAATCAGAACACCTTATAGCAGCTAAAAGATTAACAAATGCCAGAGTATTTCAATCTTGGATCAATACTCTCAACGTGAACTATTTCCTCAGGAAATGTTTAATAAAAGTCCTTTTTCTTAAATTGATTTTTAACATTCTCAGATTTTGGTTTTTAGTAAGGAAGTCCGTAAGGGGCTTTAATGACACTGTGATCTTCAGGGTTGGAAGGGACCTTTGAAGTTATGAAATCCAACACACTACTCAAAGGAGAATCTATAAACCAAGATAAGTGCTATGAAATCCCAAACAGATTGTCTTATGTCAGTTATATTTGCCTCCAATGAAGCAAAGTCCATTACTATTGCTGTCTGTAGTTACTTTCAAAAGTTACTGTTAAAGGGCATTTTAAGGCATTTCAGAAGCATTATTTTTCAGGAATATTTACACATATCTTTGATTAAGCTTAACGATCTCTTTTAAAGGAACAAGTCACACAAGTACTGCAATTTAACAACAATGGAATGAATACTGACAATGGATTACTTTCGAATGAATAATGACAAACAGAAGCAAATTATTTCTGAAAAGTAACTTTCCAGGCTCTAGCAGTATAACACTATTGGGTCTTGGTCACTAATGTCATTAGTGCTAGTGGAGCAACTAGAAGACTTTCTCTAGCATTTTCCTGTGTTTCTCTCTTGGGATTGTTCAATAGGCTCTTTGGTTAGAGCAAAGACAGTCAAAGTATATCTCTGGGGCCCCATGCAATTTTCTCAAAATTATTTTTGTATCTCCCAACTCTTCCATATGCCTGGCATCACCACCACCACTCCTCCTCCTCCTCCTCCTCCTCCTCCTCCTCCTCCTCCTCCTCCTCCTCCTCCTCCTCCTCCTCCTCCTCCTCCTCCTCCTCCTCCTCCTCCTCCTCCGCTGCCGCCTCCTCCTCCTCCTCCTCCTCCTCTTATTCTTCTTCGTCTTGCAAAAAAAAGTGATAAAAACTGACTCTCTTGGAAGTTTGTGGGAAAAGAATTCTGTCACAGGTTCTTTATGCGGTGTTAAACAGCAGCAAATACAATTTTTCAATGCTTAGAAGGGAATTTCCAGCATGACCATCTTTCTTCGCCACATTTCTGGTACTTTTGGTTGTTGCTGCTGACTGTACATGTATTCAGGAGCAACATAAAAAACAGACGTTTGCCATTGCCCACCCTTGGACTTGGTTTCATGGTCTCTGAAGGAAGAGGCAAGGAGGAATGAATGTTTTACATATTCCCGGGGAAGCGGGC